GTAGTTCGGTGGTATTTTTGTGTAAATATGTTGAAAAAGTAAAGGGTATTGGATTTTTTTAGGTTAGAGTTAAGCTGTGGAGCAGAAAAACCCAGCTCCACCCCCATAGTTTATTTTTAGGAGTAGCTTTGCTAACTCTACTCCTAAAAACGGAGGATCTGAACCGTTTAGCATAACTCCGGCTTCAGGTAAGTTGGAGTTGGGAGCTAGAGCTGTGCCAAACAAAACCTACATAGTACACGGTTGTGCACTTGTATTCCTCGGTCTTTAAATAAACCAACATCATTAACCTATTATAATGAATTTGGATATGAAATTCGTTGTATTGGGATGTGTCACATTCTAGTATGATGTTAATTTATTTTAGAACGAAGGGATTACGTACAAATGTGTCTGTATTATAGGGCGTCGTACGTATTCCGTTAATTTGTTCATACTCCGTACGTAATAAGTCATCCTAGAGTTTACTTTCATGGTACAGTACATGCGAAAGAACTAAACCTTAGTTTGGATGGGATAATTAGTTCAGGTTTAGATGTAAAGCAGATACCGTGTTCAATCAACATTTGATGTATGCATGCATTGTTGGATTATATGGAGCTGGATATCAGTCTTTTAGGTGATGTGATGTTTGGGGCTAAATCAATTTATTGGACTAGATACAATGTGCAAGCAAAACGATCGATCTACATGTACATGTTAAAAGTCAGCTGCATGTCGACATTTCACATTATTGAGGAGTAAACAATATTAAGCATCCACTAAGCACCCCCTGGAACTGGAAGCTAGTGGTATGAAAATGATTGTCGCAGCTAAATAGAGGAAGCGTTAAGCGCGCGTCGAGACAGGACGATATTTTTACACATCTGAAGCACGGACACACGCACAAGGAAGTGCGTGCATCAGGTGGAAAGGAAAAGGAACCACGTAGCTAGCATTCAGACATCGCGATATTGACCCATCGGCCATCGATCATGGCCGTCGGTCCGTCGCCTGAAGCCTTATATTACTCTGTTACTCGTCGTGGATATCAGTCAGCACTAAATCGATCGTAAGTTCGTAACACCGGATCATATCGATCGATCGGACGTCGATATCGTCGGGACTTCAACATTACATTGTGCCATATAGTCCAACACCTCCGCTTAATTATACTCTCTCCCTTTTTTAACATATAACACAATAGATTTTTGGACAAGTTTGACCTTTCCTCTTATTAAAAAAATCTATATAATTATTATTTATTTTGTTGTGACTTGATTTATCATCAAATGTTCTTTAAGCATGGTTTAAATATTTTTATATTTATATAAAAATTTTGAATAAGTTAAATGGTTAAACGTTGATTTGTTAATTATATATTAAAAAATAGAGGTAATATTTTTTTAAAGACATGTCATGGACGGGATTAGTTAAACTGATTAATTAACCGGCTGTTCCGAGCGTGCACGTCGCCATCGAACGATCATCGATCAATCACGGAGAGTCCAAACACACGGAGGTTAATTAGTTTCAACGCGCGCCGATCAACTCGTGGCTGGACTTCGTCCGGCCCTCTCGTTCAATTCGGTCGTTGGTTGGACTGCACGTACGTACGTGCCACTAAGCCCACTATGTCAATGTGTCAATAATAAGTTTAATACAATTTATTGGATCATTAAACAAAGATGGCCGTGAGAAATAGCCAAAGCTAGCATGCGTGTTCAGACTAGAGAGGATCATATGTAGTCTAACTAGGGCGCGTGTGCAGTATATATATACTACCTCTGTCCTATAATATAATTTTAACTTTTTAGTTGCAATATTTGATCACTTATCTTATTAAAAAAATTTATATAAATATAAAAAAGAAAAATTATGCTTAAAGTATTGTGGATAACAAAGTAAGTCACAAATAAAATAAATAATAATTTTTTAAATAAGATGAATAGTTAAATAGTGCAAGTAAAATGTTAAAATCCCTTATATTATGGAACGGAGGGAGTACGTTTGTGCACGACAATTTCAGGGGAGGTATACTTTCGATCGACTGAGGTTAAAGCATGTGATGAGACATGTTTTTGTTGTTAGGCTAAATCCCCCATGTTCACACGGTCAACACAATACTCCGTTTATATATCTAGCCTATGTACCGTTGCTCTGTCTTTCACATTTCTGAGGCCGCATACCCACTTTTGCAAGAATGGCAGGATCTTTTGCAAGAATTCCATACACACTCCTCTAATAGCAAGTTTAATAGTAGAGTCAACTACTAGCTATAAACTTATCTAAAATAATACTCCCTCTGTTTTTAAATATTTGACACCGTTAACTTTTTAAACATGTTTGATCATTTGTCTTATTCAAAAGAATTAAGTAATTATTAATTCTTTTCCTATCATTTGATTCATTGTTAAATATACTTTCATGTATACATATAGTTTTACATATTTCATAAAATTTTTTGAATAAGACGAACAGTCAAACATATGCTAAAAAGTCAACGAGTCAAACATTTAGAAACAGAGGAAGTATTAGAATTAACATATATAATAGATCAAATATATATAAGTTGACTTTATTTTTCTTCTCTTTTTTTATTACTTATGTAATTAATGCATTTACTTTTGAACATGTGTAGAGCTAACTCTTACATGAGAGCTAATACTTCTTGTTTTTTATTCTCTCTTCCATGTAAGCTTATAGCCTACTATTAAACCTGTTCTTACACGAAAAATTAATATTACTACTCAAAACAGATGCTTCCTCTATAAAAAAAAGTCTACACGTCTTTAGGATTGGATTTTTTTTTTTGGATAAAGAGAGTACGGATCGAAATACTATATCAGTGAAAGTTTACGCCATACATGCTCATACATGATGAAATAGGGTGGCACGTACTAGCGAATGTGTGGTTGATTAATTTACCTTGCCCTAGCGTAGACCAGGCATAGTAGTTAGGTCTGGTATCAATACTTATAAGTATTGGTCGGTACCAATGAGGTATCAATTGGTACTTGGCGATATTGGTTGATACCGATGAGATATTAGTTGGTACCTAACAGGTATCAAGCAGTTCATGTAAGACTAGATCTGATGCTGTAGGTATCAAAATATGATACCTCCTTAGTATCATACCACTCGAACATGAGAGGTGTTAGGTGTAGCAGTCCCGTGCGGTTCATTTTCCGCCTCTTAAGGTATGTTCTACACTCCCTCTTCGTAACTTTCACCCATTTATTTTCAGCACGCATGTTTTCTCAAGTGCTATATACTAAACTATGTGTTTTTATTTTAAAAGAAAAACTTATACGGAAGAGTAGCTGTAAAAATATATTAATCCATTTTTAAAAATGTTCTTTAAGTTAATACTTAATTAATTATACGTTAATTTGTCGTTACTTTTAAGTGTCTGTGGTGAAGGATTTCCGACCTAGCTCAACACCAAACAGTCATGAACGGCTAGACAAACAGCATGGACGACCGACTACGTACGTAGCGTGCGTGTGTACGTACGCACGCACGCGTAGCCTGACTCTTCCTCTCTTCAATTTAGCAGCCGCCCGGCCGGTCTGCGTTCGACTCGCCCGGACGAACGCGTTGCGATCGTCACGCGCGCGTACGCACGCCACAGCGCGGGCCAGCTCTTCCAAGCCGCGCCTTTCGATCGTCTCCTCGATCCGTCTTCTGTTCCAAATGTGAGAAAGCTGTGAAAGGCGAGAGCGAGAGTGCTAGTGCCGAATATACTACTGCTATGCACTCTTTCCGGCATTTTGGATTTACGGCGCACTCTGTTCTTCGCGTCGGTATCCATATCTGTATGGACGACTGCGACGAAAGTTGAGAGTAAACAGGCTTAAATATACTACTAAATTAATTGGAGCGTCTAAGCTAGGTGCTTCTATGCATTATAGAAATGGATACTGCAATCTACGCCTGGCGTCAGATCACAGCTATTCATGTGTCCAAGTTCATGCACGATTTGGCGGCTGCACGCAAAAGTAAACCGATTAATTAAGAAGATAAACCTGCACGATCGATCTAAGCACTCCCCGATTTTGTCCTCTACTTCCATTAATCAGACATCGCTTTGCCCATTTTATCCCGGCACGGTTCTTCTCATTCGTCCGGTCAGAGCAGTGTCCGTATCTCTGTTGAGTGTTGACTGCACGAGCGAGCTAATGTTAATTACCTTTGCCCGAGTGTTGGCTACCACTTCTCTTGAATTCCTCTACATGCTATGATGCTACTATGCTTTGGTTTGCTTTTCCATCCACTTGGCAGGCAAAAATTTCTCCTTGTACGACCGTTCCGTGCCACGACCGCTGCTGGTTAGGTCAGTTGCGTTGTTCTTAAGTAGACTCTCTTTATTTTTTTGCTGAATCATTTGCTACTAATCCACATCGTTGTCCTGTAGATGACTAGTTTAGCTAGCCGAGATGAGCTTTCGTTTTTGGTCCCTTTCAGGCGATGACCGTCTACAGTCGCATCGAACGTAAAGCACAAACGTGCCAAGCCAAGGGCATCACGTCATCTACGTACAGTATCAAAGAAGAGCCGGGTAAAATCGGTCCAAGTAGTAGCCGTGCGAGCCACGGTGATTTCGCTGGCTAGCCTTTTCGTGTTGTTCTTTTTTTTACCGTCCTGCGCAGGCATCGATCCGATCGGTCTTTGCTCTGAAGAATCTTTGGCCTGTTTCGCGAGAATTCTGAGACGAACAGCGGCGTCGGCTGCGCGCTTCCCATACTGGAACTGACGACGAGTCGACGACGTGATTCACTCAGATTACTACTAGCAAAGCTTAACTCGATTTCCAGGGTTCAGAAACTGACCGCGATAGGCTCCAAATAGCTGTGTAGCGATGCCGATGGCTTCATGGTTGCACGGGAGCATCTTGACTAATGCCGTATCAGTCCATCTGAATCGCAGTACATGACCCTGTTAATGATTAAGACAATGAATGAACCGGTAGCCTGGTGAGTTTTGCAATGGATTAAGGAGCATAAATGGTTAAAAAGATGTATCCTCTTTGAACTAGCAGTTGCTATCGATTTAAATTCTGGCCGTCAGAAAGCATTCACTCGATTCAGTGATACATTTACCATGTCTATACTCAAGACACGATGGGCCTATTTCATTAAAACAAATGTTTTACAAACAATGCAAAGTGAAAAATAAGTTATCTGCTCATCTCTTCAACTCCGAAAATTGTTGTCATAAAGCACTACCGCTGATGGGATTTGCATATGCAATTCGACTCCGATTTCCGTCTAAAAATTGATCTGTGTACCAGCCTCTACTCTTAACTTCTGCCACAAACATGGGGAACACATTCTCCATCCTCTCGTAGGCTACATTTAGAACTGTATCACCTGAACCAACACCTGATCTTTCCATTTCTGAAGCAAAGGCAGCAACTAGCCATCCCCTCAGTGCATCTTCTCCCGTTGCACTCTGCTCAAGAACCATGTATGCACTGTTGTCTTTTCGACTAAGCAAAAATTTCTCCTTTGAGAAAGTTGCTTTCAGCTGTTCGATACGCTGTGGGCTAAGAACTCTGCGGACTGGTTGTCCAATTTTCACACTTCCTGCTTCTTCTATTAATCGGTTAGGAAAAAGAAGATCTTCTCGATATCTTAGCTCAGCTGGGCTGGAAACCTTTCCACTCTGCAGTGCAAGCAAAACATTAGGATCGTAATTGGAAAGAATGAAACAACTTACAAGTTAATTAAATGGACCTTGATAAAATCAGCAACAATCATTGCTGTTCTTTGCGGATTAAGTGTGTTTACAGGAGTTGCCCTCATCTCTTGCACAACTCCATATATATGTACAACAGAAAGCAATGGGCCTGCAATTAACTGAGAAAATATTCGGATTGAGAAGCATGACATTAAACTTAAAATTTATGCTACAGCAACATAAGATATTAAATTGAAGGGTTAAGTCCGATTTACCCCCTCAACTATAATACCGGACGTTTTACACCCTTCAACTTATCAAACCGTACGAATTACCCCCCCCCCCTCTTCAAATCCGGAGTGGTTTACTCTTGTGGGACCCATATGTCAGTCCCTATTCACCTTCTCCCTCCTAGTTCTCCCTTGTCTCTCTGCTGGTCAGGGCCGGAGCAGGCAAGCATTGCAGCCACCACATCTCCCGGGCATCCTCCGAGCTTGTGGAAAACCGCAGCACAACTATAAACCAAAATATTAACAACAAATGGAAAAAGGGCTTGGTCGTTATCTCTATTTCTGCATGGCCATTCCTTCTGTAGTATGCTGTAGTGATGAAGAAATGACCACGTAAATTGCTCCTCATTAAAATTGCTACTCCTAGTTCCTTCGTTGTTAATGGGCAGGTTTTGGCGGATGGCACTTGCTGCCTGGTTATTTACTCCAAATAAAGCCACATCTATTTTTTACCTAATACTTGGTTCCAATAGAAAATTCCCTACACTGCTGCTAAGGCTGACTGGCGAGTGGTGGTGCAGACGATGGACGACACACTTCACTTCCCTCGGTTTGGTATGCTTGCTGGTTTGCTCGTTTTAGTCATGGGTCGGACTGGAGCATGGCAGCAACCCCATAGGGCGTGGATAGCAGGCCGAAGCAACGCGACAGTGGCTGCAGGGGTGCGACGCCAGAGTTTGAAACATCCAGCCACCTCGTGAGCACCCAGATCTGCCTCCACCATGAGATCCCACCAAGCTCGAGTAATAGTGAACATACTTTATTTAAGTCGGCTAGCTTGCAGGATGCTTAACAGAGGGGAGAGGAAGAAGGTGAGGAAAGACTAACTGGTGGTTCTGTCGCCACGTGAGCCCAAAACCCTCATGTGTTGACAAACAAAAAAGGGCCCCCCGGGGGGGGGGGGCAGTAATCAGCATAAGTGTACTATATCGCATGGCCTAACAGGCTGTTCTGGTAGTATATGCCTATTGGGGACCATGGCAGCCCTACAACCTATGATCCATTCTGGAAAAACAACTAATGAACCTGGTAATGCTAGGTAAAATATCTCTGGAGTATACAGTTGAAACAAATATCTTTGACAAGTTTATTTAGCATAGGAAAGAAGATTTTTCATGCCATATTGCTCTGAAAACCTAAATTGCATCATTTTTTAATGACATTTCTCACTCTGCATTTGCCTAATCAAATGATACAAGCTAAAGTAACTGAAGAGATGCACCCTTGTTGTGACATACCTTCCCTTGAGTTGTTGAGCACACCGTAGATGCTAATCCAATGCCAGCACCTATTCCCATGACATTGAAAAGTGTTGAGATGGCTTCCCCTTTAGCAAATAAGTCACTAAGGTTACCTTCCTTGGCAAAAGAAGAATAGATTGGTAGCCTTGTCGCTCTTGCTGCAACAACAGCCATTCCCTGCAACGGCAAACAATATTTTTGTAGCTGACCTTCAGGCATTCAAAATAAACTGCTCAAGTAGATTATCAATTTCTGTTATCGTTCAATTTGTTTATTTCATACAACGTAGGTACAAAAGGTAGTTCTTTTTTCCCCCACAAAACCTGAACTAACTTGTACTATTTTGATATTCATGCCATCAGCAATGCATCATGAAAGTTAAAATTGCACCTTTGCAAAGTTTCCGAAGCCTGCTACTTCAAGAAAAAGTTGTGGGCACAAAGGTGAAATGACTTCTAAGGCAGTACCAAAATCATAGAGAACATCAGCTGAAAAAACACATAAATAGGCATTAATTGCATAGCATGGTTGGTAGCATCTCGAAAAAAAATATAAAGACGTAAATGAGCATAAATATCAGAAAAGGGGTGATACAAATTCATGTCATTACTACATACCAAGTATCCTCCAACTCTTTGGCTCTGAATCCATTCTTGCCCCCATGCCACTACATATGAGCTTTCCTGCGTGCTGCATTCCATCTTTTAGAATCTGAAATGAACATAGAAAATCAGCCAATGCATGGTAGTATTGCCTATTTGAATTTTTAGCATCTTTATCATCATGTACTTACCCAACTTACAGCAGTTGCTTGTGCAGGGGTAGGTCGCAAACCTGCAGCAAACAACAAAGACTGAGCGACAGCCCATATGGGCAGTCAGTTGAAAGGCACTTTTTTGTTCAAGAAAGAAGGTGGAGGTAAAATAGCCCAGTTAATTTCAACCAGATGCAGAAACTGCCTAAAAACTCATGGAATCAACATTTCAACACATGACTTATCTATTGATGCTTTATGCTACTCAACAAAATACAGTAGCAGTAGGAGTAACTGACCTGGGTTGATAGCACATGCAGCATAGCACTAGAAAAATGCTGGAGCGCTCGGAATTTGGTGTAAGTTAGGTAACCCTCATTCACACTGCACGGATTGGAAGCCAAAACTTATCAAAGAATGTCACCCAGAAGCATTGAGAATACAATTTCAGGAAACTTATACCTGTATGGATAGCCTGATGGAAAAAATTTGTTCAAGAAAGAATCGATCATCTTATCATGTATTGGTCTCGAATCTTGGATAACTTTTACCTAGAACGAGATATGAGTTAAGACACAAATTGACAAAAACAGGATATATTTCTGCATTTTATCCCTTCCATTAAGAAAAATTTTAGCCCTTTTGTTTAATCCAACAAAACATTTAGAGGTACTTTGCCGGTAGCGAAAGCTCATAATAGAAAATTTATGAAGTGTATAACTAGGGAAAACAGGATTGCTTGCTTGCGCAGGAGCTCAACAATATATACCAAGGTTAATGGACCCGTAGTAGACTTGTAGTGTTAGAACAAGCATGCATAAATATGGTTCAGACTTCCGACATGTTGCATGATTTGACCAATGAAACCAATTGCCTACTATTCATACAAAATAGACTTCTCTGAAACAATTCAGCTATTAGTTCATTCGCGTTAGTATCAAAATATACTAGTACTATCACTTGGGCGAAGATTGCAGTAGGTGAATAAAGCCATAACGTGTTAAGTTCAGCATAATCAACATTGAAATGGAGAAAGGAGAAGGATTACAGAGACTCTGCCGGCGTCGAAGCTGCAGAGCCGAGAGATGGACTCCGAAATCTCCACCCATGGCTCCGGCTCCCGCGGCCCCTCCCCCACGGCCGCCCTGTCGCCGCCTCCGCGTATCCTCTCCTGCGGAAGATTCGCGCACAGAGGATGAGATCTCTCACCTCGACGCGCCGTAGCAGATGGGAGGAGAGCTTACGAGTATGTTCATTCGGGAGGGACTCGCCGGCGATCTCCTCTCCTCCTCCTCCTTATCCGGCGAGACCGAGACGGCGGCGGCGGAGGGAGGGGATTGGGGAAGCCGCCGACGAGGTTTTGGGTTTCCACCTCGTCACGGGCGACGGACGTGTTTCCACCGGAATTTTTGCTCCTCTTTTTTTTCTTCGCTCGTTTCTGGATTAGGCGGCGGTGAGCGGAGTGGGCCTCACCAGGCCCGGTCCATGAGAAATTCCAGCGCCGGAAGCCACACGATCGCGATGACCCGACGGGCGCCGAGCTCTTCTCGTCCGTCCGATCCGATGCGTCCCGTCCCCATCGAATGGGCCGCGCGGCGCCGCCTGAGAAGTCCAAATTGGGTCGACGACTTCATTGACCGAGCAAAAGCTGATCTCCACGGGCGAGCGCTCGGAAATCCGGCCTGCCTCGTCTTCCTCCGCTGGCGCGGCGTGGGTGAGAGAGATCGGAGGAGATCCCGTGGCCTCCTCGATGAGGTCGCCGACGCCGGCCAGGCTGGCCCTGGCCCTCGTGGCCGCCCTCGCCGCGGCGGCGCTGCTCGGCGGGGCGGCGGCGGCGGCGGCGACGGAGGAGGCCTACGTCACGCTGCTGTACGGGGACGAGTTCGTCCTCGGCGTGCGCGTCCTGGGCAAGTCCATCCGCGACACGGGCACGCGCCGGGACCTGGTCGTGCTCGTCTCCGACGGCGTCTCCGACTACTCGCGGAAGCTCCTCCAGGTATGCGTAACGATTTTGCCGGAGATTTGAGTGCTTGAGTGAATTACTGGTAGTGGTAGCTCCGCGAAACACCTTTTTGTGCAAGGTCTGGATATTTAGAATAGAGAGTTGATGGCTCACTGTGCTCGATCCGATCTCCACTGTGCAAAATTTACCACGATTAAGAATTGCTCATGTAGAAGAATTATCTACTAGAATATGCCACTCATTATTTACCCAATATGTAACACAATGTGCAAACTAATATTACATTTAGTACCATTTTGCATGCAGTAAACATCAGGATGTGCGATGACTAGCTACATCCTCAGATTTTTTTTTACTAGTCTAATCAGTTAGTTAATCTGGCCTTACACTAATTTCAGGCAGATGGTTGGATTGTGAGTCATATAACGTTACTGGCCAATCCTAATCAAGTGAGGCCAAAGAGATTTTGGGGCGTCTACACCAAGCTTAAGATATTCAACATGACAAGCTATAGAAAAGGTATGTTTCAATTAACATTTCCATTCTATTAAAGTATGTTGTTCCTCCATTTCATTTCATTTTTGTTCATTGTTTTAAATGTTTTTTTTTTTGGTTTTCCCAGTCGTTTATCTCGATGCTGATACTGTGGTCGTGAAAAGTATTGAGGATCTTTTCAAGTGTGGGAAGTTCTGTGGCAACCTGAAGCATTCTGAAAGAATGAATTCTGGAGTGATGGTTGTAGAACCATCTGAAACTGTTTTCAAGGATATGATGCGCCAAATAGACACTTTGCCTTCTTACACCGGAGGTCAGTGCACTTATTTCTTATGATTCATTTCTAATACAAACTAAGATTAGTCATACTCCTATCTAATTTTAACCGGATTATACTTATATGCCTCAGGTTGTAATTCTGTAGAGTGCTTGTATAGTAAGCCATTGTAAAACTGTCTACAGTTCTACGCATGCACACCATTATCTTGCAAATTCACCTGAATTTATCCAACCTTCAGCAGTGTTATTTAGACACCAGCGTGGGGAACCTATGTCTAAATTGTTTTTGCCGAATCAGACACCCTGAATATCAGTTGGATTCCAGCACCGTCCAATTTCGAGCAGTATTTCACGTGTCCAATTTTTTTTACTGAACTGTGAATATCCAAGTCTGACTCCGATATATCTGCCCTTGTATATGTAACACTGCCTCGCAGATTTCTTAGGCTCCCATTGTTTGGCTTATTCACAGAATAAGCAAAACGGCATATTTGCAAACGAAAAATAATTTGTAAATAAAACTTTTATATACGTGCTCTTAATGATCTAAAAGCAAAGGTTGAAAAATAAACTTCGATGAAAAAACCTTAAAATCAACTTCAAATTTAAGGTTGAAAATTCAAATTTTGGCTGATAAGCATAAGCATAAGCGAAAAGATGGGGCTGTTAACCTGTTGAGGCCAGCTTCATGGTGACTTGGTGACTTATTAGCCTTTCAATGCATTTACAAAGCCTTCCGTAGGCCTCCAGTGCCAAAACCACTAAGATTCTCTGTCAGTGTCGCTCTGTTGACAAATGTCATTTGCAGCCCTTGGCCACACATCATCACTTTTAGATGCATTAACAGCTCCTTCACCCATATGCTATTGTAATTTGTACAAATGCTGTTTCCAAGCCTCTCCTATCTTCCTTTATTTCCTTGGCCAAAAAGATGCTGCAGAATCTGTTGGTGGACTACTTTTAATTGATCATTCCTGGACCCAAATCCCAGTCATACCTAATTAATGAGGATATTGCTAGATCCCTTCCCTTCAATACTATGCCCTAGTTCGCTATGTTGAAATTGGAAAACAATACATCTGCTTTGAGTCTTTACAGGATTATTTTTTCAACACTCCATTTGTTTTTATATGTTACGTATGGTTGGGGTTTTTTTTAATAACTTCTGTGAGTGTATTCTGCAGCATTCAAACTTCTCAGCAATATAACTGTCTGGTTTCTTTTTAAAAATAATAGTACTGTTTGGCATTTTAGACTTGGTTGTATGCTCTGGAGAACTTGGTTTTTCTAATGGTTAATTACTTTTGCTTGGATCATGTTCTTACTTAGGAGGACAGGCTGAGACTCTACTGCCTTTTTCCTTGTTAGTGATTTTAAATACTTATTTCTGAATCCAATTTTGGATATTCATGCAGGTGACCAAGGCTTTCTGAATTCATATTATGCTGATTTCGCCAACTCACATGTTTATGAGCCAGAAAAGCCTTATACACCTGAACCTGAGACTCAGCGCCTTTCTACCTTATATAATGCTGATGTTGGACTTTACATGCTAGCCAACAAGGTAATACTTATGTTGGAAGCATTGCCACTTTAATTTCAATAATGCCTGAATATTGTACTTCTGTAATTGATTAATTGAACCACTGCATTCCACACATACTTGATTTACTTGTCAGAACTAAGCTGGTATTTGACAAATCTGTTCACTTCAGCAGCATCATGTGGGTTGATTATTACAATTCTATTATCTTTGTTAATTAAGACTTGTTCTATAAACTTGTTGCAAGAAAAAGTTCAAGAGAAAGGGGAATTGTGAGAGCTTAAATTGATGTTTTGTCCAGACATTATCTGAAAGCTAGTTAGAGTATGCCTCAGGAACAGACCATTCAAGGAGCACTACAGTGACGAACCTTGTTATATTCACCAGGAGACTGAGACTTGTGCCACCCTATCACGAGACATGGTGTTCCATGTTAGTTTATATCTTGTTCTCACAGAACTAAATGGTCTTACTGTGTTATACAAATTGGAAACCAAATCCCATGTAAATTTTGTTTAAATTGGTTGTCTCAGACCACACAGACACTAGTCAATATTAGATTTTGAATGTGGTGTGTGCTGCAAGACACACTACAAGATCACTGATGTTGGATATTTTTGGGAATGTTGAAGAAAGGGGCTTTGTATGACCAGCAAAACCAAAGTTGATTTTCTGACTTGTGTTTTGCAATGCTGAATGTGTATTGGCCCTGCTGTGGCTGCAACGGGAGTGAGAAAACCCGAACCTGATGTAGATGATGCCTTGCAAAATGGATTTCTTTGACACGACATGATGTGAGCATGGTCGCTTGGATGCTGGACCCGATGATGTTTCTAAACTTCTGCTGCAGTGGATGGTTGATGAAAAGGAACTTAGAGTCATTCACTACACGTTGGGTCCCCTTAAACCCTGGGACTGGTGGACAGCTTGGCTTGTTAAACCTGTGGGAGTGTGGCAGGTAATGTGCCATTTCGTATGTCTGCCATTACCTTCGTATGCTATTTTTCAGCAAAAATAAATCAGTGTGACTAGGAATAAAATTATGCTCTCCATGATTGCAGGATGTTAGGCAAACACTTGAAGAGTCTCTCCCAGGAACTGGTGGGGGGAGAAGCCCTCATGATCAGCTTGTGGTCAAAGTTTTGTTCATCCTTCCTGTTTTACTACTCACATGTGGTTATAACCAATCATGTTTTCAGGTAAAAACACTTTCCTTTCAGCTAGCAATTTTCAATTTTGTATGCACAAACATGTAATGTTGTTGCCTTCTCATATGTTTCAATTCCGTGGTGTTAAATACAGACTAACAAGGAGCTGTTAAATATAAGGTCTCTATGTGCATTTGCTAGAAGAGATCGCTACAAATACAAGTCTGAAGAGGCATTTCCATCGTACTCGGTTATGGGTGTTTCATCATCTGCATTTTCCAATTCAAATCAAAGAGTTAGTCATCTGCCCCTCTTCAACAACTAAATAGTAAAATTTTAAGCATCCAAAGTAACTCTCTCTATTACTGTTATTTAAGGTTATACATTTGAACCTTACATTTACATGTTATTGAGTGTTGCTTATTAGACAAGTTTCTATCACCTTTAAGAACAAAGAGATATGGAAATAAAATATACTGTGGTTTATCATTTTGAATATCTGCTTAAAGTCGTCCTATAGTTCCTAGAAATATTGATGAAGTGTCATTCGTGGACTAAACTGGATCAAGAGGATATCATGTTCTATATGAAATTTTAATCATGGTTGTTGACTTACTGTATTTCTTACTATGTATTACCTTCTACAAAAATGTAGTGATGTTTATAAATTGTCGGCCTAATGTTTTCTCAAAACATCCACAGTTCTCCAATGGGATGCACTCAAAGTTACCTTCTTATTTTGGGGCACTCACTGTGCTAGCCTGCTTTATGTCTGCTGGCGTATCTTTTGCATTTGCTTTTGCTATCATCCCAAAGCAGATTATGCCATGGACAGGCTTGCTGCTGATGTTCGAGTGGACCTTTGTATCATTCTTCTTGTTATTTGGGAGTTATCTCCGTTTTGTCTATCGATGGGGAAGTCTTGATGCAAATCATGTGGGACATAGTCGTTTTGATTCATCAGAAAACCACATGGTTACAGGTGTGTTAACTTTATAGATTTTTGCAGAATTTCTTTTTTCATGGTAACCAACAATTTGGTCTATTGCAGGCCGGCACCATAATATGTCTGACTGTGACATAGATGCAACATTTTACTGGACAGGGATGGCAATTATAGCTATTGTCACTGTATTGTTACCGACTCTCTTGGGTGTGACTGCATTATTTGCGAAGTAAGAAACCTAACTTGTCTGTTATTTATCCCCCTTTAGTATGAAGAAAGTAGGTTGACAAAGTAGGCTGTACTAGTTAGAAATCTTGAACATATAAGTAAAAACAGGCTCCTATAAGGGCTGCAGGAAAGGGAATGGTTTCTGCGTGTACGTTTTTTTTTTTTTTTTGGGGGGGGGGTGGGGGGGAGGTGTTGCTTGTATACATCATTTTTCTTTTTATTATAAACTTAATAATAATTATCAAAATTTTTATCTTATTAATTTATTCCATTCATAATTCATATATTTTTATAGCATTTGTACATAACCTGCATTATAATTTCTAATTCCTTTGCAGTGCTGAGTAAAGATCTTATGCANAAATCTTTAGTTTTTTTCCACCACCAATATCTAATAAGTTTATGTGTTTTCTATGTCAGGCTAGGATTGATGGTTGCTGGTGGTGTTGTGCTTGCATCTTTTATGACATACGCTTCAGAGCATATTGCTATCTCTGCCTTTTCAAGGGCAGAGAGATAGAAATGTGCCAGAAGTAGAAGCATCTGCTTCTTGTTTTAGTCGTTAACCCTGCTCCTACGCAATTCATTTAGTTCATGTACCATATGTACCATCCATGTTGTATCCTATGTCTTTTACACAAAAAAAAAAACGAATGATGGTATACACAGCGATTCCATTTTTTGATGTCAATGAAGAGTAAATAGGTTCCAATGATGTTCATCCATCACAAATGACATGAAACTTGCAAACACGTATTGTAAATCTTGTATATAAGCACTCACTGTTATTATTTTATTCTGTTCTTCTCAACTCATTTTTGTTTTGGAGCAGCAACACGAGCTCTTTTTTTTTTTTTGGAGGAGCGACACCTATGTTACTGTGATGGCAGTTATCTACTATATTTTAAACATGGCGATGATTATCACGTATTGAGTGACCAGACCCTTCCATTGCACTTGCTCCTGTGCGGAGGGCAAACTTACCAGTTACCACTTACCAGCAGTCCAGAAATAGATCACCAATACTGTATTTCTGGAGCATAGAAACTGAAAAAAAAAAGACTCAACCTTTTCTTTAGCCAAAATGGACAGTAAACGGCATATACGGTATCAAAACACTAGTGACAATGGACCAAGAGCATTATACCGAGATTGGAAAATGGTCTCCGTATCTACTTATATTCCAAATCCAGATAGTTGTAGAAGCCACAGATTAAATCTAAGAGCAGCAGAGAGCCACTTGCTAGTATATTTAGCAGAAATAGTTAAGAGCAAATAAACAATTTCAGATTCTCTGCAAGTGCTCGAGCAAATATTCGGTGATAGCACTAGTAGTCTGATAGATGCGTTGGAGGCCCAGGAAGAAGGACGATGCAGCTTATTATATAACCACGTTATCTTATCTGAAATGGTATGGTCCCCCTCCGTTACACGACGGCATGGAGCCATGCCGAGACGGCCACGTAGTCACGGAGTTCGACTGTACGAGCCTCGGTTCGCTCTCCTCTCTCCTCGTCAGATAAAGGGCATGTTCACATTGCAGACAAAATAACCTTATTAAATTTTGTCAATCTTAAAATTTTAGCAAGATAGCATGATTTTTTATATATTTATCAAATTTGACAACAAGCTAAACGTAAATATTCTTTTTAATAATTTTACTAAAAATAATATGGTTAAAAATGATATCAAAGTAAACGGACCTGCATTAAAAAATAGCATTCAAAAAAAAAAGTGAACGGACCCGAAATCCTCCCCTGAAAGAGCATGACCCGAGCTCCGTTCTACCAGGACGGCCGGGGCCGGGTGTACTGTTTGGTGGTACTGCAGCCGTCGAGATGGTTTGCGTCGCACCTCTCCAGGTGGCCTGGCCGACGGACCAGATCGACACACACGGGCACTTAACACAGGAACGGGTCCGGGTGTAGTATAATAGTGCGTGCTTAGCGGGATAGGTGTCGCCTGGATTCAGTGACCTTGTTCCACGTGGTACCGGTGTGTGTGGCACGGTGGCGCCGTGGGCCACGGTAACCTAGCACTGAATTATTATTAACCCACATTTGAATTGTTCCTCGCGCACCAAATAGAAATATTTTCCGCGAGTTTTTACTTTTCATATCAGAAATCATTTTTTATAATCAAGCTTATTTAAGTCTAATTAAATTTGTAGAAACTTAGCAATATTTTCAACACAAAATAAACATTATCAAATATATTAAATGTGAGTTTTAATAAAACTAATTTTGTGATATTGTTAACGATCAAAATTAGGTTTTTTCGGGTCGGCAGATATAGATGTTACTAAATTTTCTATAAACTTGATTAAATTTAAACAAGTTTGTTAGTAAAAGCGAATTATAATATAAAAGGGAGGGGATATGAGTTTGTTTCGAAATCAGATTGCTTTAACCTATGTCCCGTTCGGACACTAATATGAATCCAAATATCCACTACCAAACCCATACAAAAATAACCCCATCAAAAATATTTAGGCAAACCTATGCGTAACTGGTCCCAGTGCATCCGATATTCGGCGGAACCGGAAAGTCGGGCGCTCGTTAAATAGGTGAGCACCTCTCTCAGATCAAACTGTTTTTCCGAAAAGATCGCGAGGCAAAAGACCAACCGCCTGTGCTATGAGTGAGGAACTGAAGCGCGACTTCGAGATCGGCGAGGAGATTGGGCGCGGCCGCTTCGGCGTCGTCCACCGCTGCGCCTCCCGCTCCACCGGCGAGGCCTACGCCGTCAAGTCGGTCGACCGCTCCCGCCTCTCCGACGACCTGGACCGCTCGCTCGCCGCGCTCGAGCCCAAGCTGGCCCGGCTCGCCGCCGCGGGCAACCCGGGCGTCGTGCAGGTGCACGCCGTCTACGAGGACGACGACTGGACGCACACGGTCATGGACCTCTGCACGAGGCCCGACATCCTCGACTGGGTCCGCCTCCGCTGCGGCAAGCCCGTGCCGGAGCCCGACGCCACCGCCGTCGTCGCGCAGATCGCCGAGGCCCTCGCGCTCTGCCACCGCCGCGGCGTCGCGCACCGCGACGTCAAGCCCGACAACGTCCTCCTCGACGCCACCGGGGACGGGCCGCCACGGGTGCGCCTCGCCGACTTCGGCTCCGCCGCGTGGGTCGGCGACGGGATCAGCGCCGAAGGGGCTCGTGGGGACAGCCGCACTACGTCGCGCCCGAGGTGGTCGCCGGGGGCGAGTACGGGGAGAAGGCCGACGTGTGGAGCGCGGGGGTGGTCATGTACGTGCTCCTCACCGGCGGCGCGCTCCCGTTCGGCGGCGAGACGGCCTCCGACGTGTTCGCCGCCGTCCTGCGGGGCAACCTGAGGTTCCCGCCGAGGCTGTTCTCCGGCGTGTCGCCGGCTGCCAAGGACCTGATGCGGCGGATGATGTGCCGCGACGTCTACAGGAGGTTCTCCGCCGAGCAAGTCCTGAGTAAGCGTCACACCATCAAAACAGATTTCTCTTCTTCACCTTGTACATTAACACCTGATAAATTCTTTCTCCAAAACGCATGATTATTTCTCTGGACTTAGTTGTCTCTGTCTGCCTATAATTTTACTAAATCTTGTTTTGGATTGCATAATGCAGGGCACCCGTGGATCGTGAGCGGAGGAGGAGCACGCGATGTGCAGCCGACCTGAAGAATCCGTATCAGATTTCCAAATAATACGGCTTCTTGTGTATACGCCTTTGTAAATGCGAGTACGCCTACGAGAGAGGAAGATGCATTGGTAGAAGAAGTAGAGAGTGGAGAGTAGTAACACTGTATACATCCAACCAGGAGTGGTGAGGAGGAGGAGGTCGCTAGCCTCTGTGTTTTTTTCGCTCTTTCTTAAGCCCTTTTTAGTTGCCGCTTTTTGCCTGAGAGAAGAACGCTTGCTTGTGTAATGGGAGTGCTGCTGTGAATACTAACCCTGCTTGTATAATTAAGATCGTTAATAAAAATGAGAGTGGTCTCTCCAATCTTTTGATGGGTTTTTTACGGTTTTTTGTTTTAGCCAGTTTTATGATGGTTGTTTGCACTTTGCAAGTTGAGATTGCTGATAGCTTTCTGCATTGTGCTCTCTCTCAGCCTCTGTGGTTCTCCATACCACAGTGGATTCTCTGTATGTGTTCTTTGTGGATACATAAACCATGACATTTTTGTTAACCCCCGGGTTAGATTACAGGACCCACCTTATCTTCTACCGGAGCTACTTTGATCCATAGATAAAACTCTCGAGCTAGCTAGTTCTATCCGTTTGCTGTTCTGTGAGGACTGCATTCTGGAAGTTTGTTTGTCTTCACCGAGATAATACAACCATAGTACGAGGGATGAGGCCGGAACTGACACGCGGAATTAAGCCCAGAGAAACTGTGATTTTCACCTACAGCGACGGATCAGACCATCTTCGTAAAGTACAGCCCTTTTTCTCCACTGTCGATCGATTCCAGTTCTTCTTCTCCTATAAGCAAGGGCAGAAAACGAAGTGATAAGGAGGGGGCGATAGCGATCCGGTGTGGCATTATCGAACACTCTCACGTTATAACCTTTGCCTTATCAACTCGTCGCTTCTCTCCCTTGGAAGAATTCTGTGCCTCACCTGCGATATGATGCTCTGAATATGGAACTCGGTTTTAGCGGCGCCACACACAAGCATATCCTCGGTTTATCCTCTCCGGCTTGGGTAATCTGCTCCGCATTGTTCCCGTCTCCAGCGAGCGCTTTTTTCTGTCCTCGCTTGGTTTGCAAGCAAGAATCTGCCAACAAAATTGGCAGGAGGATTCGAGCTCCACTCTCTGCCGTCGGCGTCCGGTTCGAGAGATTCCTGATGATAGGTTACTGCTCTTTTCTGCCCAGCAGCAGCAGGCAGCAGGAGCGAAGGGAATCTTTGCCAAACAGAGGCATTCACAGTGGGTTGAGTTGGCATTCAGCCTTATAGTTCCTCAACAAATATTACTCCCTCCGTTCCTACAATATAAGGGATTTTGCCCCTTCTAGTTGTCCCACAATATAAGGGATTTTGATGTACTACTTGTCACATCCATCAACTCCAATTCAAATTTTTACCTATTTTAACCCTCAACTACCCACTCACCTATAATCAAATATCATTTAATAGGGGCATTCTAGTATTTTCTTGATATCCTTAAACTTACCCAAAAGGGAATAATCCCTTATATTATGGGATGAAGGGAGTATGTGCCACGTTTGCTACTGTCATACCTACCTGAAGTTCGTGTGTCCAATTTTGGTCACTCGTTCTTCAGTCTAATTCTGAGTGAGTGCGTGGGGTGAGGCACCGTGAGCATTATGTGGCCGCACTGTGAAAGATCTGATCCCTGCTTTCTCCACTGCTCAGCCTGCACATGTGTACTTTGTCTTTTTCCCTTGGTCACGGCACGAGGACCGGACGCAGTGTGAATGCCTTAGGAGTACCTAAATTGCTGTAATAATACGAGATGCTTTGGTTAATTGATTTCGAGGTGCCAGTGACAGCAGTGTGTGTGTGTGTGGGGGGGGGGGGGGGGGGCCTCAGGAGTAGAGAGGATCAAAAAGGCCCAGGTAACAACAAAAGAGGCAGACATGTCACGTGGTGAGTTGTTTGGACCGCCTGCGCTCGTGAGGTGAGGTGGCGTCGTTGCTTGTGGACTCCCCCGGTCCAGGACAGAGACCGGTTACCGTGTACGGTGCTGTCTGTCCGGCGCTACTACTGTCTTCCCTTGACCCACCTTAGCTGCCTCGCCCTCTCACGTTATCACAACAAAGCTCGTCTCACGGCTTGTGGTTGCGTACACGTACATATGGCCCGGGACCATATAGTCCCCAAGGGTTGCAATGCAAGTGCACGTATCTGTGGGCACGAAACGACGTACAGGGAGGAAACGGCTCCAGAACAAAGCAGTCTCTACAGGACCACGTGATGACGTGACCCTATCTGGCCAGCATTCGGCTACCGCCAATTTTTGGCCTCTGAATCAGGAGGACTACACGAGCGCATGGTGTCGTGGCGGTGCGTGTCTCGTCTGCCCCGACCGCCGGCCGCCTTCTCAACTAGGAGTACACTCGTAGTCTTGACAAGTTGCTTCTCCGGGATACTAATCACATAGGAGTACTACCTCCGTTGTCTTTTTGAGTTTTTGTTCATAATTTTTCATCATTCGTCTTATTTAAAAAAATTTAAAATTATTATTTATTTTGTTTGTCAATTGCTTTATTATTAAAAGTACTTTACATATGACTTATCTTTTTTTATATTTACACTAATTTTTTAAATAAAACGAATGATTAAACGTTGAAAGTATAAAGTCAAAAACGTCCACTGTACTGTGACGGAGGGAGTATATACGATGCTTCTTCTGTTTGATCAGCAGGCCCTCGCCGCCGTCAGTGTCATACGAGGATCGACGGCTTACTGTCGGAAACCAAAGGCCATCGTCGTACAAAGCACCACGATAGAATGGCCATTTGGACGCGTTATATATAGGAGAAGATTAGGGCTGTCAACGAGCCGAGCTCGAGCGACGAGCTCGGCACCAACTCGAGCCAAGCTCGAGTCGAGCCTGTTTAAACTACAAGCTTAGAAATGGGCTCGAGCTCGGCTCGCTCGAGCCTCGAGCTTTCTCGAGCCTAACTCGTGTGCCCTCAAATAACCAATACAGATGAAAGGAGGCTGCATGCATGCTTGTCGAGTACTACTAGTACTAGTAGCTTTTTCAAACATGATATAACAACTAGTAGTATTATTAAATAGAGCTGCATGCATGCTAGTAGTACTAATAGGCTAGTGCTGCAGAGTAAAGTAGTACTAGTAGGCTAGTGCCTGCACGGTGCAGCCCTACACGCTCTGTGTTTCTATACAGCTTTTCATTGGGAGTAGGAGTAGTACTAGCTGTTGCATTGAAAATTTAAGAACTTGTCAGAGGGAAATCTGGGCTCGACGAGCTATTCGAGCTTGGCTCGTCAAGCTCGCAAGCTTGGAGCTAGGCTTGAGTTCGGCTCGAATTGTTGACGAATCGAGCTCGAGCCGAGTCTACAGCGAGCCGAGCTCAAGCAGCTCGCGAGCCTCGAGCTTTTTTGACAGCCCTAGAGAAGATGGGCCAGATGGCCTGGCAGTCATCAAGCACAGAGCAGTAATATCTGATGGAAAATGCTACGCATCTGATCTAGACAACACACGACGAAGAAATTAAGGACTACTTTTTCCAAAAATAGGCATGTCTACCATTTATCAGATCAGGAAACAAACCGTTCCTTATCAGCCAATATAACAAAGATGCAAGTTTGGTCTCCAAGCACTAAGCAAAAACCTACTATCAGGTACAGCATTAGGTGAATGAATCCCAAGCATCGATGGGGCACCAAAAAACGTATACAGGTCGTATCTGCGGTTTCTTTAACAAGCAAGGATGGACACTAGAGTAGGAAACTCAAATCTTTTATGTCCATATCTTGGCTCATTTTGTGCCCATACAGGTGAAACTAAAACCGGTCAATGTCACGTCAGTTGTTAATGATCATTCATTCTCAGTGCCCACTACCACTCCACATGTTTATGGTTTGTCGGAGTATTGCTAGCTAGGCCCATATCCGCACCACATCAATCCTAGTGTGCCCCCCTAACTTTTCCACCATTTGCATGCAATACTTTGTTAGTACTCTGTACCTGCTTGAGCACTGGGTTACTTATAGTATTAGACCGCATCATATAGCGCTCCCAGTACTGAGCTGGGGATTGATTAGGACAGGTTATTTTGTAGGGCAACGCTCCGGTGCTTTCTACTGAAAGTATTATACTACAAGTAGAACTAATCTGAACCGTTTATTCTTTAGGGTACAATAGTAAAGTACTGAGATAGATTAGGGGTAAATTTAACATCCCGGACGACGTCGGTTACGTCGTTGTGTTCGATCGTCAGTAGCGGCGGGCGGTGGAGACCATCTTGAGGGCGGAGCCGCCGATGGTGAAGGCTTTCTTGCGGACGGCCTTGTACTCTGGCCACGTGATGGCGTGGTAGGCGGCGCTCTGGCCGGGCGACACGGCGTCCGGCAACGGCGCCACCTTGACGTCCGGCAGGCGGGCCGAGGATGTATCCAAGCGATATCCTATCGCGGTCGCGGTTGACGACGGCGCGGTAGTAGATGCTGTGGAAGTGGCCGTTGGTGAGTATGCATGTGGAAGTTAGGTCGCTAATGTTGAGGACGAAGTCGCCCGGAACGATCGCCGGCACTGCCACCCACCGGTCTGGTCCTCGCCGGAATAGCTGTAGCCCTGGCACGATGCACGATCTGGAGCATAAGGCGGAGTCGGTGTGTGCGATGAGTCCCCGCGCTTGCCGTAGGTCCGGGCACCTCGGGTACCAGTGCATCGTCGCCGTCATCGTCTTGGCAATCCTCCTCTCCGCCTCAACGCCGGTGAGACCCAGCGCCCACCCTGAGGAACAACTCTAGCAGCTCGTCGGCTAGCCGCCGCATCTCCTTGTGGAACTCCATCACGTCACTGCGTATATTATACGTGCATCAGGACACTTATACGTGTACACGTAGTAGTAGACGAGTAGCTCGAGAGAGTGTGTGTGCATGGCGGCGAGCCGGCGACGGGTGTACGTGAGAATACTGTGAAAACTATTGAGGCAATCTACCTCTCGTGGAGGCTGTTCAAGTCATTATATACCAGAGCAGAGATACAACAATAGTACAACTCAAGACCGAATCGTATATTACTAACCTATACAGATTCTACATACACAAGGAAAACACCTATACAGCATCGGAAACGAATCAGTTATGCAGTAACGTAAGCAACCACATCTCTATGGTACAACACCCCCCCTCAATCATAACTTCGCACAAGTTAAGATTGTTCCTGAAAATTCGCAACTTGCTTAGAGATTGTGCCTTAGTGAAACCATCTGCTAATTGATCACCAGAAGATATAAACCGGATATCCAACAACCGTTGCACAACCCGTTCTCTAACAAAATGATAATCTACTTCGATGTGTTTAGTTCTGGCATGAAACACAGGGTTAGCAGAGAGATAAGTTGCACCAATATTGTCACACCAAAGTACTGCAGCCTTTGGTTGTGATACTCCAAGTTCCTTAAGCAAGGTTTGAATCCAAATGACTTCAGCAGTAGCATTAGCTAATGCCTTGTACTCTGCTTCTGTGCTAGAGCGGGAAACTGTAGCTTGTTTTCTTGCACTCCATGATATTAAATTGAAACCAAGGAAAATAGCAAAACCACCAGTTGAACGTCTATCATCTGAACATCCTGCCCAATCTGCATCTGAGAACGCACTAATAGTAGTGGAGTCTGATCTTCCAATTTTTAGACCAAATGTCAAAGTGCCACTAACATATCTCAAAACTCTCTTTACCGCCGTCCAGTGCAAAGTTGTTGGTGAGTGTAAATATTGACATGCTTTATTCACCGCAAAGGCTATGTCAGGACGAGTTAACGTTAAATATTGTAACCCACCAACAATACTCCTATACTTTGTACCATCTTCTTCACTCAACAGTACTCCACCTACCGATGAAAACTTTTCCGAAACAGCAAGTGGAGTACTTACCGGTTTGCAATTCCTTAACCCAGCTCTACTGATCAACTCAGTTGCATATTTCCTTTGTGACAGCACCAAACTTCCTTCAGATGACGGCGTTACTTCTATACACAAGAAGTAATGTAAATTACCAAGATCCTTAAGTGCAAACTCAGCATTAAGATCTTTAAGTAAAGCAGGAATAGCTTGATCACTTGAGCTAACCACAATGATATCATCCACGTAGACCAAGAAGTATATAACCACATCACCTTTCCTATAGAAAAACAATGAAGTGTCTGCCTTGGAAGCACTGAACCCAAGTTGGCATAATTTGTCATAGAGACGATAATACCATTGCTCTCACTGGACCCTGTCTCAAACCAAATAATGCTCTGACTAACTTGCCACACATAATATGAAGAAGACTTATCAACGTACCCAGGCGGTTGCTTCATATATACTTCCTCTTCCAAAATGCCATGAAGAAACGCATTCTTGACATCTAGTTGACGTATACTCCAACCTTTGGAGACCGCAAGAGACAGAACGAGACGAATAGTAGAGATCTTAACAACAGGACTAAAAGTATCCTCGTAATCAATGCCATACCTCTGCTTAAATCCTTTCGCCACCAACCGAGCTTTATACCGATCAATTGTACCATCAGATTTTCGCTTGATCTTAAACACCCACTTGCACATCAATAATATTTTTTCCTATCGGTGCAGGCACTAAATGCCAAGTATTATTTTGAATCAGTGCATTATATTCCTCATCCATGGCCTTCTTCCAATTTTCATCAGCTAGAGCATCATCGAAACAAGTAGGTTCCTTGTCAGAACCACTATACATACCCCATCTAATCGTTCCATCTGTACGAGTAAGTGGCTTACGAATATTACTTTGAAGCACGAGTATGCAGGCCGGGATCACCACAACAGGCTGAATGTTCTGTTGTTCACCTTGCTGCAGCCATAGAAGGTCCAGAATCCGCAGACAGATTCAAGAGATAAAGTCCTCAGTAGATCCAGACATCTCACCACCAGAAACGGACAATCCCGGCGTAGACTCACGAACCGGAACCTGCCGCACCACACACGTGTGACCCCAGGAGAACACAGTTTGGTGATGGAGGTGAACATACCGAAACATGCGACACTTGCGGTGACCCCAAACATCTGAAAAGACCAATGCCAGATACTTCTGGCATATGAGCAGAAGAAGCTGGACCAATGCCAGATAAACCACCACTATTTTGATCCAGATTATCATCACCAGAATCCTGTACGTACAGGCCAGCACTAGAAGCATTGTTAGGAGCATTAGTCTCAAAAGAAAAACTATTAATCATACCCCTTGATGATAACAAAGATTCTGGAAGAAGAGAAATTTCAGCTCGAAGTTGGTTTCCAGCATTGGAATGAAGATCAACAAAGGGAAAAACAGTTTCGTCAAATATAACATCTCTAGATATATAGACCCGGCCTGTGGAAATATCTAGACACTTATACCCTTTGTGATGAAAACTATACCCAAGGAAAGCACACTTTTTTGAACGAAATTGGAGCTTACGTTTGTTATAAGGACGAAGATTTGGCCAACAAGCACAACCGAAAACTCGAAGAAAGGAATAGTCAGGCTTAGTATGAAACAAAAGCTCCAAAGGGGTAGAAAAGTTAATAACTCGACTAGGTATACGGTTGATCAAATAGGTAGCTGTGAGAAAGGCCTCATCCCAAAATTTGAGAGGCATCGAAGCATGAGCAAGGAGAGCTAATCCTACTTCAACAATATGGCGATGTTTGCGTTCTGCAGAGCCGTTTTGTTGATGTGTATGAGGACAAGAGATATGATGTGCTATCCCTATTTTCTGGAAGAAAGAGTTTAGACGATGATATTCACCACCCCAGTCAGTCTGCATTGTAAGAATTTTCCTACCAAGTTGTCTTTCAACAAGATGCTGGAAATTAGTAAAAACTTGGAAAACTTCGGACTTGTTCTTTAAAAGATATATCCAAGTAAATTTACTATAATCATCAATAAAGCTTACATAATATTTGAATCTCCCCACGGACTGAGGAGCAGGACCCCAAACATCTGAAAAGACAAGCTCCAAAGGAGCAGACGACCGACTGACTGACCTAGAATAAGGTAGTTGATGACTCTTAGCTTGCTGACAAGCATCACAAACTCGCTCTTCCCTCGACTCACTAACAGGGATATTATGTTTTCTAAGAACTCTACTCACAACCGAAAAAGAAGGGTGACCAAGACGACTATGCCACCTAGACTCTGCAGAACTAGTAGAAACAAGAGCTTGACGTCCCTGAGGTGTAGTAGACTTCAAAGGAATTGGATACAGACCACCCCGGGATCTACCTTGAAGAAGAGTGCTCTTCGTTGTTTGATCCTTAACACAAAAGAATTTAGGATGAATTTCAACAAAGGCATGATTATCATAAGCAAGACGATGAGCTGAAACTAAATTCTTTTTAGCCTTAGGAATATAAAGAACATTATTAAGAGCGAGATTTCGATTAGGGGTATGAAAAATAGTCCTTCCTATGTGACTTATACTCATACCTGCGCTATTTGCAGCATGAACTTGCTCATTACCATGATACCTTTCCTTTGTCGTAAGTTTCTTAAGCTCCCCAGTAATATGATCTGTAGCGGCAGTATCCAAATACCAATTTGTATCTACCCCATAAGAAGATACGGCTGATGCCGACTTTGCTTGCTGATGGTGCTGCTGAAAGATTACATCGTTTCCAGAGAACGATCGATCAAAACGCTTCCAGCATGTATGCACTGTGTGACCTTCCTTCCCACACAATTGACAGGAAGGTCGAGAACCATCTCCACGGCCACGGCCACCACGGCCTCTGCCACCAAAACCACTACCGAAATTGCTGCCAAAACCACCTCGTCCACGGCCTCGACCTTGTCCTCGTCCACGTCCTCCTCGTGACGCGCTGTTAGCCGACGAGTGATAGCCTCCTTCAGATTGATTATTTAGATGTGCCTCAAACGAGAGTAGCTGGGCATATAGATCACTGAGTGATATGTAGTCCTTGGAGGAGACTGAGGCAACCAGAGGATTATAATCTGCGTCAAGTCCTCCAAGAATATATGAAACAATATCATCATCATCAAGTTTCTTCCCAGCTGCAGCCATCTCATCTGCTAATCCCTTCATCTTAGTGAAGTATGCAGCAGCCGATGAATCTCCCTTCAATTCTCGAGCCAATTGCGCACGAATCTGAATAATTCGCGCCTTAGATTGCGAGGAAAACATCTCGTTAAATTGCAGTCCAGACTTGTCTGGCACTCTCAAGATGTGCGACTTGCACCAGAACTTCTCGCGAAAGCGTCGAGAGTAAATACCCGAGTACTTGTTGATCATGCGCAATCCACTGTGAATAGGCTGGGTTGTTGACGGATTCCTTCACCAAATCGTCGCCCACCTTTTTCTCCACCGTGATCTCAGGTGATGGCACCTCTTTTGTGCCATCAAGATATCCAGTAAGCTGTGCTCCACGCACGGCCGGCAAAACCTGCGCTCTCCAAACCAGGAAGTTGTCTCTGGACAGCTTTTCAGAGACGGGATGTCCTAGCACTGCCGATGAAGACAAAGTCGACGAAGAACTTGATGCCATGACTAGATGTTTTGTGGAAGAGGATGCTCTGATACCATGTGAAAACTATTGAGGCAATCTACCTCTCGTGGAGGCTGTTCAAGTCATTATATACCAGACAGAGATACAACAATAGTACAACTCAAGACCGAATCGTATATTACTAACCTATACAGATTCTACATACACAAGGAAAACACCTATACAGCATCGGAAACGAATCAGTTATGCAGTAACGTAAGCAGCAGCATCTCTATTGTTTAACAAATACCAGAAGAGGAGGTAGTCGTCGCCGGACTAGGGCCAGAGACGGCGGAGCTTTTGCTTATCAAATTGCAAATGCGTGTCGGATCAGAACGAGAGACGAGTGGGTGCAGCTAGGTTTAGAAAGTGAAAAGGATAAAAATACCTCTCCACAAATAATTTTTCTGGGACAAAAATATCCCTCCACAATTCTACTACCATTAAATATGGTGGGAGTAGAAATAGATCTGAGCCGTTCAATCAAATACGATTAATGGTTCAAATTATTTTCTACTCCGAGTAGAAAGCACCGAAGTGGGCCTCTATTTTGTAGGGTCTTAGTTAGGACGAGGTGCACGAATGGGAAGCCAACATGCGCGGTGACCAATCAAACATCCTTTGACGACGACGCGCCAACCGACGATCGATAGGCCAGCCGGCAGCTTCAGCCGCGCGTCTGATACGTTTGGCCGCGTACCGGTCGGCCTACGTGACAACCAGGCAATCGACAACCACCAAAACCACCCCGTGCCCTCGACCCAGCAACGGTCGTTCTGTTGCTGCGCAACCAATGCAGCCCCACACCCCGGCCCGTCGTTAGCCCTACCTAGTCGCCGCAACCCACACACGGACGGCTCGACGTGGCGATCTTAGCGGCTCATCCGCCCGGCCTCCCTCGCGCTCGATCGCTACGCAGCCTACGCTCGTTTCGCTCGGTTCGGTGGGTCGCCGATCTGGCGCCACGGCGGCTACCAACGACACCGCGATTGAGAAGGGTGCGTGGCCGTGGAGTCGTGGAGAAACGCCCGCGCGCGCGGGTGCGGCGAGGGACGACGACCGCGTCGTGCGGATCGATTGGCGGGGCAGCTCGGCGCCCCGATAGATGTGGTGGGGTGGTCGATTCGCCGGGGACGAGGGGACGCTTGCTCCACCGGCCCATCTGAATAGAAGAGGAGGAATTTAACAGGGCCTGCCTGACCTGATCGCCCGGGCTGGTTTAGTAAGTTGGGCCTCCATGAAGTCCTTCATTTGATTGGGCCACGAATCGGAGGTCCCAATGTCACGCGGCCGGTCCGACACGATGCCTTTTTGCTGAAATTTTACTGGTCTCGAAAGGAATAAGTTCACTCTAGGTCCCTTAATTTGTCACCCAGATTTTCATCCTCAATCCAGAAAACCAGATCAACTTACAAAACCGTGCTGAATAAGTCCCTTGGCAGTATTGTGCCTGGTTTTGGATGACGTGGCGCCTACGTGGCTCCCTTTGACTAGGTCCTCGTCCCACATGGCGCTTATGTGGCATTGGATCTCTGAAAAATAATAAAAAACCATGGGACCCACATGTCAGCTACACAAAAATAATAAAAAAAGGTCGGGCCCATGTGGCCCCACATGTCAGCCTCCCTCTTCTCTCTCTCTCTCCCCTACACTGCAACTTGAAGGGATAAGGGCGAGCGACGGTGCGGGGTGACGGCGGTGGGCGGAACGGTCGGACGGCTGTGGCGGCGCCGACACCGAACTTGAGTGGCTACCTTGTGTCCTCCATCATCTATCCCTCGAGCGACACGAGCGCGCCGCCGCCGCCTCGTCTCTTCTCCCCAGGTGGGCGCTCCGCGGCGGGAGCGGATGTCGTCGGCTCTGACACTGCGAGCTCTTGTTTTCCCCTACTACGCCGCCTGCCACCATGCTGTGCGCGGACAAGCTTTCGCCCCCTCGCCGACCTCTCCTGTTGACCGGTGGCACCATGATTATGTTAACAGTAAAATTTGGTAATCAGCAAAGACGTCATCGGTTTAGAATCATTATCGGCTGCAGCATCTCGGAATCAGCCGATGGGAGTTATCAAGTCGCCAATAGTCAGATTCCTGCTATATTCGGTTAAGGAAATCAATCTACTAAAGGAAGCTTATCCCTAAGTGACCAAGTTTAAAGAGGATGCGGCATGGCAGTTTATCTATTAATTAGGAATAGTTTGTTAGTTTCCTTTTATCTTTAGGAAAGTGTGTTTAGTGTCCGATAAGGACTTTATATTTTCCTTTTATCTTTAGGTTAGTTTCTTTCTTGTCCGACAAGGACTTGTATCAACCCATGGGTATAAATATGTACACCTGGGGTCTATGTAATCTATAGCTATGATTAATACAATTCGGCGCATCGCCACCCTTTTTACTTCTACTTTTGTTTTTTACGTTCTGGCGGAACTTGGCACCCGACGCGGGGCTGCATCGTCTTCGATCTCCGGCAAAGGGATAAGTCCAATGTTCTGTCGGCCCAGGCAATTGTCTCATCTACATCGGCGTCGTTCAAGGCTGCATCAGTACATTCGACCTCTTGGATTGCTCTGGTTTGAATGATATATTTGCCTACCTATTTATCATATGTCTCTATTAATCTAGTATTAGCATATCAATTTAGCTCTATTGGCTGCTTCTCGTTTTAGGGTTTCTGCCGGTATTGGCTAAATCGCGTTGCTAGATTAGCTTAGCTTAGACATCTACCACCCTAAAAATCAGTCATCGGCTTGATTGTCTAGATATTGTGTTTCTTTTCATACTTAGTGCTGCATCAGTTAAGTTTGATCTACTAAGTCGTGCTTAGAACCATAATCTCTAGCCTGCCTCTTGATTGCCAATAAGGGTTTCATTGGGGTTTCAGCCAGTGAGTTATCTGGACGTTGCATCGGCTCATAAGGATTGCATATACATATAAGTTGGATTTAGCCGATGACAACAAAGGTTTCACTGTTTAATCTAATCTTGTGGATTTCATGATATCGGACCTCCAGCCGATGTGTGCTTTAACCCTCGGATCGATGCTTATTTATCATATCATTGCTAGTCGATTGGTTTATACCGGTTATATTGTTATTTTATTACATCATTAACAGCCGATTGCCTTTATATCATTATCTACATTGGACATATAGCCGATTGCTTAAACCCTATCGCTATCGGCTGGTATCGGCATCGGCTATTATCGGCTATCGGCTGGAACTGCTCCATCGGCTTGTCAGCTGATCGGCTGTTTTGATCTACTATTTGCATATCTTGTCAGTTGCAGGATCAAACTGACTGGCACGCTCGCATCTCATCAATCTTTGGACCTGCACTGGAGCTAAGCAGATCTCCCAGGCCAGTGTGTTCGATTTTTTCGTCAACACAAATATCGGCTATACGTCTAATGTAGATTCTAACACTTTAGTAAATAATGATATATAGGCAATCGGCTACTGATAATAAAATATAACAATAATATAGTCCAGTATAAACCAATCGGTTAGCATTGATATGATAGAATAAGCACTGAAAACGGAAGTCACGGCGTGAGATTTTTTGAGGGCAACGGTTGGTATTTAAAGCGATAGAATAATGGTCTAAAAATGGCAGAGTGCAAAACTTGCTCGGAGTCGGTACACGGCAAATCCGGAACATTATCAAATATCCCAGACTTGGGGGGCATGTGTTAACGACCAAATTTGGTAATATCAGCATCGGAAAAGGAGATTAGATCAAGGTGGAGTCGAAGGCGGAGATTGATTCGAGAACAGAGCAAGAATCGGCTGAAGTCCAGATCGGCTACGATTAGGATCGGCTGTGTCTGAGTCGGACTAGGTGAGCCGATGCAGCCGATTCTGACAGTATAATTTGGTGTATGACATTGGGTTGAATTGACATGCTTCAAGATAATTGCCGCACATGGATAGAGTCCTGAGAAGACAATTGTATCTATTAATTAGGATGTTATATGTAACTTCCTTAGAGATATGTTTGGGCAAGAGTCTGCCGCAAAGACTTATAGTATCTTAGAGTTTGTTAGAGATAGTGGTCGTGTCCGATATGGACATATCTTGTAATTCTCGGGTATAAATAGACCCCGAGCCCTATGTAATTTTTAACACACACGTTCAATACAATTTCGGCGCATCGCCACCCTTTTGCTTTAGTTTTGTTTCGACGAGTTCTTGCTTTCGGGTTGAGCTGCATCGGTTTCGATCTTCAACAAGAGGTAAAACTTGTTATGACGACTTGTGTTCTCGAGATTAGTGCTTCCATCTTTATGACACTCTAATCTTGTCTATATAATTCGTCAAGTTATCATATATCTTACATAATCTTTAGCAATATCGTCATCTAACCTACAATCGGCTAACATCTGTTAATAGAAGGCAGTCGATTAGGTTAAATAGCGACGTTGTCCTAGATTATATAAGATATCTACCACTTTACGAAACACTCAGCGGCTTGATTGTCTAGATATTGTTCTTCTTTTCATATTTAATGCTGCATCAGTTGAGTTTGATCTATTAAGTCGTGCTTAGAATATCAATCTCTAGCCTGTCCTCTGGTTGCCGATTAGGGTAGTATCGGAGTTTCAGCCGATCTTATCTGATTTAACCATATTCGATCTATATGCTTCAATGACATGTTAAATCCACCCTTTATGTCAGGATCTTATTGCATTTAAGTATATTAAGCTCTTGTTTGGTATATTATACTTGTTTTGATATCTTTACATAAAGTAGTATCGGAGTATTAGCCGATACATGCTAGATCTATCTGATCGGCTATGCTATAAACATATATAATCCTGTTATTAATATATATTTCGATCTAAGTGATTTATACTGTCTCGGCATGGTGACCGATCTATCCTAATCACTTGATTTAAGTATAGATTAATATAAGAACTATATATCGTTAATATCTACAGCCGATCGAATAGATTTAGTTCCTTACTATCTATTTATAACCGCCGATCGATTCATATATGACATCGGCTCAAAGATAAATAATATGTCATCGGCACCTAGCCGATCGGCTATCATTTATAGATTTAACCACGAATTCTCTGTCTCTATTTCTTGTTGATTACAGGATCAAATCAACTGGCACGCACATACATTCGAAGGCGAGCTTTGAATCTACACTGGAGTTAAGCAGATCTCCCAGGCCTCGTGTTTTCTGTCAACAGATTAATAGCCGAAGGAGGAAGCGGATGAGGGCGGCAATGCGACGGGACGGCGCAGGTGGCGTGAAAGCGGCAGAAAAACTAGCGACTCCGGCTTTGGAGAAGTGACGGGACAACAGAGCTTGTGGCTCGGCACGGCTCTAGCTCCTTCGTTCCTCTTCCCCTTTCCCATACACGCATGCCCGGGAGGGAGTGAGGCGCGGGGACGGTAGCGGCGGCAGCGGGCTAGCATGGCTGCGGATGGGGAGAGGCGGGCGCCGCTCGGCCTCGTCGACGACGGCTCCGGGACACGGAGCAGAGGGGTGTGGTAGCGGGTGAGCAGAGTCGTCAGCGCCCGCCTCCCCCGCTCTGCAGCTTAACTGTCAAATCTGACCAATGAACAACAATTAAGATTTGGCCGGATCTATCGGGACATCGCAACAAGCATTTGCTGCTCGCTACTCTAGATTAGATCAAAGCTTGCTCTAGTCCGAATGAGATGAGGCAGTACAAGAAAGTGATGAACAAAATTAAAACTGAACTAGAGTTGGACTAAGAAGCGTGGGTAGCTTCGTCCCCAACGCTGCGGGCGACGCGTCCTCTGTGGCTCCGGATAGGGAGAGGCTGGCGCTGACGACTCCGCTCGTCCGTCGCCGCTCCGCAACCGTACTCGTCCGCCGACGCCGCCGCTTCGCCTGGCTGCCCGCTGCCGCTCCCCCGCCGCCACTCGCCCTTCTCCTTGCAGCGTAGGGGAGAGAGAGAGGTGGGATAGAGAGAAGATGGAGGTTGACATGTGGGACCATATGGGTCCCACTTTTTTTTATTATTTTGTGTGTAGCTGACATGTGGGTCCCATGGTTTTTTATTATTTTTTGCAAATCCAATTGTCACATAAGCACCACGTCAATGCCACGTGGAACGAGGACCTAGTCCAAGAAAGCCACGTAGGCGCCATACAAAACCGGGCACAATAATGTCGAGGGACCTATTCTGTATGGTTTTGTAAGTTGAGGGATGCGTTATATCCGGTTTTCGACAAATTGAGGGACCGAAAGTGAACTTATTCTGTCTCAAAATCACAGGAAGCGATTGCAAAACAGAACAATTACAGTTGGTGTAGTGGTTGCATCGAATGTATGCTGCCGTGCTGAGCAGAAAATACATACACATGTAATAACCACTAAGCAGGTTCAGAAAGAGAGGAAATGGAATATTTGAACATGTTCTACAAATTGGCCTAAGCGCCTAGCGCCCTAGCATGGTACACAAATTATTAATGGAATGCTATTTTACATGCTTTAGCCTTTTAATCACCTCGCATAATACGTACTTCCTGGGTTCATCGGTAGGTTCTCACGTTCCTCCCCAAGATAGCCGGTACTACTTGTTTCAATCTCAAGACCACTATTAATTGTAGATGGTCCGCCAAGAAGGTTCTCTGTTTCCATCTCTGCATCGACTTGTACCCAAGGATGCAGTGAAAGCTTCCTCAATCGGCCCAGCTCGTCGGTGATTTCTTTCATCGATGGCCTGTTGGCGCCGCACATATCAAGGCATTGCTTGGCTAGCTCAGCAAGTCCCCCGATTAGTTCCATGCTCTCTTGGCCTTTTATGTCGCTCACCAACACCGAGTCAAGATTGTTCCCCTTCATGGCAGATAGGAAAACTGATGACAAGCTTCTTTGTATCGCAGGTCCTTCGAGCTTCAGTGGCACTTGGCCTGTGAGAATCTCTAGAAGGATAACACCGAAGCTATACACATCGCTCTTGTCGGTCAATTGGCACGTTTGCATGTATTCGGGATCGAGATAGCCACATGTACCTTGAACCATTGTGACAAACTGCTCTTTGTCGGATGGAGCTAGTATAGATGCTCCGAAGTCTGTCACTTTGGCCATGTAGTTCTCATCAAGAAGTATGTTGGCAGTTTTCACATCACCATGGAGAATTGGTGGAGATGCATAGGAATGTAGGAAGTGAAGCCCTTCAGCTGCTTCATGAGCAATCCTCAAGAGGGTGCTGAAAGAGATTTGCAACCCTTGGTTCTTTCCATGGATAAGCTCGAATAATGTTCCATTCGGGACGAACTCATAGACTAGCATCGGAACTTCGACCTCAAGGCAACAACCTAGGAGTTTTATAATGTTCTTGTGATTGATTTGGGATAGGATGAGCATTTCTTGGCCGAACTCCTTCTTTTGTCTTTCGTCAACTAGTGCACATCTTTTAATTGCGACTAGCATGTTGTCCTTGACTGTCCCTTTATATACCGTTCCATGACCTCCTTGGCCAATTATTCTGCTCTTGTCAAAATTGTTTGTGGCATGTATGAGTTCAGCTTCTGTAAATACTGTGAAAGCAAGACCTTTTTTTGATTTCATACTCTCAAACAAAATCATACCCCCATGTTGGCGAAAATATTCTTTCTTGATTTTGGTCAGTTTTCTCCTTTGAATTACCAATTGTCCGCAGAAGGCAATGATCATGAGAACAATGAAGCCTATAATAACCCCTACACAACGCATCAGCATCATAAGATAGGATCAATGATCATTTCAGAGTAGTCAGGAACTTGTATTCCTTTATTATTTGAAGATCATAAAAGTACATAAAAATGATAAGGAGTTAAATGAATACCAATTATCAAGCCGATATCAGGGATGCATGTATTGCTGCTCTTGGAAAATTTCCTTCCCTTCCGACAAGAACACCGGTAGCCTCCTTCCGTGTTGTGGCAAACACCACCGGAAGGGCATGGCCATGGGTTGCGATCACATTCATTAACATCTGTCGTAAACTTAGCATAATTATATGTAGAACACAACATAGGGTGAGATAGATCTAGTATTTGTGCACATACAAATAAATCAATTTACAAGAGGGCTATACATACCATGGCATCCATGTGGGTCTGGAAGATAAGGGTTACCTTCGTATCCATGAGAGCAGTTGCAGACGTACCCAGGTCCATTGGTGGAAGCCACACACTCGCTGTTGCTACTAAGACAAGCATAGCTTGTCATGTTCTGTTTGGCAATATCGCATGACTTCTCTCTGATAGCCCAATCGATCACCATGGGTACCCGCCCGCCGTTTGTGCCATTAAACTTGGTGGTGTTTATGTATGTCGTGCTGAAATTGAACGATGCTGCCTCCATCAGCACGGCATAGCTGCACCGACCGAACCTCGAGATCTGGCTTGTGTTGAATCTCTTATCAAAAGTAACATTATAGTAGTACATTCCTCTTGGTATCGTGGTCTGGCAGCAGCCCATGCCGGAACAAGAGCCATCCACTAGCCCTGACAGGTCACGACACTGCGAGAAACACCCACTTTGGTAACCCGTGCCACCATCATCGGCGATATAGGCAAGGGTGTTGCACCCAATTACGGTGAACTTGTTGTAGACATCTGAAAACCGGAAGGGGGTATTCTTTGCATTGAAACGAAAATGAACCCCTCCCATAAGACCGGAGGCATTGTAGCAAAAGGTTGAGATGCCATTGAGTACCCGCAATGTGCTACGGCTCAACGAAATATTTAGTACCTCAACGTTGCCGATAAATGGCTTAGAAATGCCATGTTGGACCTTGCATTCGACATTGAACAATTCTGCGAGTGAGCAATTCGCTCCAATGCCAAACGGGTACTGTATGTCAACATCCCCGCACCGACTTTGGCATTGAGGGCTAGGAACTGCTGCCGTCGCAATAGTGTGTTTTGCTGCCAGAAGTAGAAGACTAACGCCAAGCTGCAGCATCGTATTCATATTCCTTGGCTGGAGAATTAGAATTGAGAAACCATGATAATGTTTCATCAATATTTTTATATTAAAATCAGTAGCTTCTAATTAAATTAATCTAGTCATTGAGACCACATTAAAAGATAAGGTGAGATTGAATTCTTTTCTCGTACATTCAGCTATGAAGTATAAAACGAAAAACATACTACATAACTATTAGACTGCTTAAATGTTTGACAAACCATCACAAAACTACATAACTAATTAAGCAACCATATCATAAAGCTAAATATTTGGCGCAAGTTTTATTAATGTAGAACTACATAGTGACAACACTATTAACGATATGATACACGCATGCATGTCAATATATTATTTCCCGTCCTAAAATATAACAACATTTAGCCTTCAGAATTTGTCCTAGAATATAACAACCTCTTCACCAATATTCTATTATCAACCAAACACAACTCTACGTCACTCAATTTCATCATCTATACTTCTATTTATCATCCACTCACAATCATCCCTCATTTAATTGTACCTACTTTATTAGTAACTTTCTGCCCTCGAGAAATTCAGACTGGTAAGATTTTAGACCAATTCCTATATTCCTGACATCTAACTGATTTAGCAAAAAAAAAAAAAATCACCGGCCGGCGGCGAAAGAAGCCCAGGCCAATTTTATTAAGATCATGAGTGAAGTACAGTTTATAACTGATGAAGCATGATATGAGCATATAAATGTTGCTAGCTCTCATTGGAAACTACACATATATACACATATAAGAAATTAATAATTCTGTAAAATTCAGCTGAAATAGCTAGGCAGTTCAATCCGTGCCTATCAGAAGAGTAACTAAGTTCATACCAGATGCAGTTTTCTCCAGAATTAGCCTCCCACAAGTACCCTTGGAGATTGCTCCTTTCCTATAGGCAGCGTTGGATGTGTATGCCATGCCAGTATATATGGAGATGTATTGCACATCAATGTCATCGTGGAAGGCGTGGAACAAGTCCACGCAAACAATACAAAGGCGCCGGGGGTAAAAAGTCATATATAGCAAAAGGCCATGGATGATAGGCAGCGCATGCATGCAGTTGTGTGCCATTGAGCATATATATAAAGTTATAAGGGTTTAAATTCTAAACCATGGCGATCCATTCCTCAATATTTGATGTTGGTTAGTTCAACAAACAAAAAGACACATAGAGAGTACTTACTGATCAATATGTGTACGTGTTTACATTCTTACAACATCGCTGAACAGCTGAATGGATAAATAGTTCAATGATTTGCGATGATATTCTGGAATACAAAGAAATTAATTAAATATTATTATGTTAAAATAATTTAAAATAAATATCTTTAAAACATTCATATAAATTATAAATATTGTTTAGTAGCTCGAGAAACGTGTACATTTATACACCATTCAATTCCTTTGAAAAAGATTACACATGTGTAATACACACTCCCTATATTGTAAAAAATAAATCTATTCTTTGTATCCCAAGGAGTATTGAAGGAATGGTTTTTTTTATAGAGTGGGTAGGTAAGAGCCTTAAAAATTCCAAATTTTTAACTGTCAAAATCAACTTATTTTAAGACGGAAGAGCACGTGATAATTAAGCAGGTCATCAACGGTGGATGGATGGCTTGACTGTACACGAGTATGCGTAGCCCACGTGGGTTAAATTTTAGATTTGACATTTGGTTAGCGACCCTAGAACTCATTCCTAGTCTAGATTTTGATCTTTTCTCCAGTACATTTTCCGCCACAAGGAGAAGACAAAGCTATGTAATAATTCTTCTTCTCTGGCGGTAACACACTTGATTTTAAATTCTCCCATCATAAATTAATTAGCACTCTCTGTAGCACCCTTGAATTTTGGTTTATTTTAAAAATTCCTTTATTTAAAAATGGGTGAATAGTTAATTTAGTCCCTCAAGTTTCACCGAAGGTTCAATTTTATCCTTCAGGTTTCATTTTGTCCAAATAGGTCCTCTAAGTATTTGTTTTGGTTTAAAATCATCATTGATTCATTGGGCCCACTTAATATGCTATTTGACTATTTTTAGTCAACAATTATGTTAGAAAATGTCCCTTTTACCCCTTAGTGTGTATACAACTATACACTAGAAAAGAGAAAACCAAAATGAATAATCAACATTGCATATGTACTTCCCATTATTTCAACATGTGCACATGAAATTTGAGCCTAAGGGCTATCGTATACACTTGCAAGTACATAAATTTATTTTCGTTTTACATAAATTACTATGCACTATCTATAAAAAAAAAGTCATTGCACGTATTTTTTTTCTCTTATATATGTAAATGAGGGGGTGTAAGTGTCATTTATCATCAAAGTTGTTGGTTAAGTTGACTTCTAAATGGGTTCAAGGATAAGTTTGAATTAAAATAAAAACATGAAGGACTAATATGGACAGATTGAAACATTAAGTACTAAATTGGGTTTCGGATGAAACTTGAAGGACCACTTTGTCTATTCACCCTTTAAAAATTTGGAGTTTAAATTTGGATCTTTTTTTTACTTGAAGTATTGACAGGGCTTTGCCTCGCAGTGTGATTTTTATAAAAAGAATACAAAATATTTACAAGTTACAAGTTAGAGAAGGAGAAGGAAAAAATATTACACAGTTTGTAACCAATCAAAAACTATCTGCTTTAAAGGATCCTTCATTCTACACATATGCAAAAGAACATCTGTTTTGAACAATGCCCTCCAAGAACTGAAGGAGGGAAGTTCATTCCGAAAGATTTTTCCATTTCTTTGCTTCCAAATGTGCCAAGCAGCAATAAAGAAGATTTCCAAGAAGCCCTTCTGGTTGAACTGAATGCGAGCCGAAACAACCATTTGAAAGAAGTTAAGATTAGAATTCCACATGACTCCCAAATGCTGCCAACACCTCTAACTGAAGGGAAAAAAAAGAAGAGATGCTCTCTTGTCTCTCTTACATTATTCATGCATAGCTCATAAGTTAGATCATCATTCTCCTTTGCACATTGCCGACGGTCTAGCATATCCCTTGTGTTAAGCCTATCCATGAAGAGGAGCTAAACAAAAACTTTACTTCATAACACATCTTGTTTTCCAGATCCAAACAAAAGGCCTCGGTGCTTGCACATTCGAGAATGTGAGTTTATAGAACTTCTTAGCTGTGTATTTATCAGAATTCCATAAAAAAGACCAATCATCACCCTTGCCGTCCTGAAAAAGAAGAGAGGAGATTTCTTTTGTGCCAAAATAGATCTCAAATCATCTCTTAGAAAGATCCCCTCAATTTTTTGTCAAACCCTTCGTCAAATTCAAGTTCAAATCCCTCCATAAATCTCCTCAAAATATCAACTCCAAAATCCCAGAGAAAATAGAAAGAGTCACTGTTCATTAGGGCCCTTTTCCTTTTCTCCCTCCCGGCCCAACTCCCAATCACCTTCCCCTCCTTCTTACCGAAGTAGGTCTGCCCGGCCTCCTTCCCGCCCCTCTAGGCCCACGGCCTTTTTCCGCGCTAGCCCAGGCCACCGCCGAGTCATCTTCCTCCTCAGGCCGGCCACAAATGATGTAATCCGTTTGATGAAATGCCGACCCGGGCGCCGAGACGTGGCAGCATCGTTCCGCACCGTGCCGTCTACCCATGCACCCACGCATCGCACCAGGGCCGCGTCCCGCCAATCCCGTAACAAGCCAAGGCCGCGCCGCGCCAAGCCGCAAATCCCGGCGGAATCCGACCATGTCCCTCGCTCGGGTTTCTCTCTAGGAGACACGGTGCCGCGTCACCCTCCGTTCCATCACGGTGTCCCGTTGCCACCGCCTCATGACACCATGTCGTCTGGTCCCGAGCTCCCGTGGACGCGTGTCTCCTCCAACCATCGCACCGCGTCCATGTCATCCACCTCCTCGTGGGAAGTCACCGAGCCCGCGCCTCTCTCTCTCTCTCACATCGCGTCGCCACCACTGCGTGACGTTGCGCTCGTCCCATCGCCGTCCATCCGCTGTTGTGTGCGTCACCTCGCCTCGCATCACCACCGTTGCATGACGTCGCGCCATCGCCTCGCCATCTCCTCTATCCCGGAATACCGCCCTAGCCTCTAGTCGGATACACCCCAGATTTCCCGACGCCTAGCTGCCAACTCCCCGCCGCATCCGGCCAAGGCCGCTCCGCCTATAAAAGGGAACCCAAGCCCCTTTCCTCGCCACCCCAACTCCCCCACCATACCTCTTTCTCTTCTCTCTTTACCCTCTCTTTGTCACCGCTTTGAGCTGCCGCCGATGGAAGCCTCGTTGGAGGTCGCCGCTGCTGACCCTGGTCACTGGTCACTGAGTCGTGCCTCGCCGCTGCGACACGCCATTGCCTCGGGCTGGGCAGAGCAAGAGGAGGAAGAAGAAGGAGCCCCAAGCCACTGATAGCCCGAGCCCACACCTCTCTCCCTCCACCGGTCGTCGACAGGTGGGCCCTCTCTGTTGTAGTTCACACAAAATTCTAGAAAAATCCTTTAACCTTTGAAAATTCTTAGAAATTCAACCGTAACTCCGTTTGATCCCATTCAACTTGCCATTTTTTTTTCTAAAATTGAGATCTACACATTGGTATTGTTGTTTCTCTATTTTAATCTTGTCTTTTTGCCTTTTCTTGATTTGTGCTCCTTTTCGCGTATAGAGCCCGAGTATGAAGAAGCTCCAAACGCCGCTTTTGAAGGAGAAAACCCGCATCTTGTGCAAGGAAATCTCTCTTGATCACATTTACCCTATATTTGCAAGTTATCTTGTTTGAAAAATGCATTGCTTAGTGTACACAATAATCTTGTTTAGGCCTCGGATTGTGTATGCAACCGATGGACCGCCCAGTAGTTGCACTTACTTTACCTAGGATGTTGATATTTCCTTACCTTTGATAGCTCCACACATGTTTGCGCCGGTATCACTATCCACTAGATACGACTACCAAGGTAGTTTACTTAGCCATGCTTATGTTTGTATTGTCATATGGGAAACTTGGGTTATTCCAAATATTTGCTTAAAAATTCGGTACGTTGTACCGATGTGTTGTGAAATAAAATAGGTTGTGAAAATGGTGATGGTGCGAAGTCATGCTTTTGTGGTTTGGCCACGTATTGTCGTTGAGGATCTTTTCCTTTGGGAAATCCATCCAAACACGTTACAGTGCAACCCCACGAGTGTTTATGGGATACCTCTGGCTAAGTAAATAGTTATCACATGGGAGTTTGGTGTGCCAATGGTTGTGGGATGCCGAGGATGAGAGAAGACGAAGTTTTGGATTCTTACAACCCTTTTTGGGTAGCCTTATTGCCTCTATTGTGGCACAAGTTACCAATAGGAGTAGGAGACATCCTCAGTATTCCTAAGTGGATGAAGGCTGATCTTGCTTGATGCTCGTCTAAGAGACTTGGCCCAACTAGGTGACATGCGATTTTTATGGGTTAGCTTTGGAAAGGCCTTGTCACAAATAACTTAGTTGCCTAGGTGCTTCACTTAGTGCCTAGTTGCTCAGTCGCTTAGTTTCTCACCGCTTTTAGCTTCCGGCTGCCGCTTTTATGACTTTCTGTGATGCCGTGTTGCTCATATATAGGCCTGTCCATGATGTCAACTTATGTAAAGTCTACTTTCCAGTGATATAATAAAGTAGTTTACTTTGATTTTACATTTATTCTGTGTATACCAGCTAGTATGTTCTGGTAATATATTACACATGGGTATGAGTCAGCTTGTTTTATGGCTAACGAGTGTCAGGGCGTTACATTCTCACTATTCCAAAATGTAGTAATTTAAAATCGGATTGAATATTTCTTAGTACAATAAATCTAAACATAAATCTTATCCAGATTTATTAGGAAAATGGGTATCGAGCCCAGCGTTTCTTACGGGTTGCGCGCGGATGGGCCGCATAGTGTAACCGTTTCCCCCCCCCCCCCCCACCGGTCCCGCCACATGTCCCCACCACAACATGCTATGTGTTCCCACCACACACTCCGTTGCAACAAATCACCCACATATTAAGGGAATCCGTCTTATTTTTTGTTCCACAAAAAATGTTTCACCTAGTGTACTTATAATATTTCACTATGTATAGATCAATGTTGCAGTGAATTGAAACATTCTTTCGTAACAAATAACCCACATATTATGGAAACCCTCTGTTAAGGGAATCCGTCTCATTTTTTGTGGAACCAAAAATGTTTCACCTAGTGTACTTATAATGTTTCACGATGTATATATCAAATGTTGCAGTGAATTGAAACATTCTTTCGCTATTTGCTAAAACATTTGTTTTTATATAAGGTGAAAAAAACGTTAGATTTTTTAGGAAACTGTTGTTTCATACGTTGTAGCAAAATATTTCATGAGGTGATTTAGTTGTGTTTCAACTTTTTAAACGATTAAAACATTTTCAATATACTTAGTGAAACAATTCTGATCTACTTGGTGAAACAACATGCAACATTTAAAAACAATTCAATAATAAGCTAAATATTTTTTCCATCGGATTATATCCATGTGTGGTCTTGTTTTAAAGATTTAATTGTAACGGATTTAGTGGTGCAATCGGATCATGATTTGGATAAAAAATTTAAGAGAAAAAATAGTTTAAAGTTCGCTTAGGAAGTTTTGCATGTATGTGTCGACGAGTGATACTCGTAGACTGGATGATTTGGGTATTGGGGTACGTTGGAACGAGGATCTACGTAATACGACATCAAGCAGATAAAAGACAAGGATTATACTGGTTCAGGCCCCTTATCAGGTAATAGTCCTAGTTCAGTTTATATAAGATTGATGATGGAAAACCACGGCTTACAATGAAAGTAAACGAAACAGACGATACCGATGAGATCGTTGTCGATGTATTCGACGAGATCTCCCGGCGACTTGGCTCCGCGTACTTCGGCTTCGTAAACTATGGTGGGTGTGTTGACGATGAGATTCAATGCCCTGTACCCCTCCCTAGGGGTCTCTTTTATATCGTGGATCATCTTGATCCCCAAGTAGACTTGGAGACATTGGATCTTGTACGGTATAACAGAAACTCTATCCCTTCTGAGTAGGATTTTGGAAATCACCTATCTCGTGGAGATATTTTCCATAATTTATAACAAATTCCAACGGCGTATACGAAAACGATCCGTATACGTGAAGGTATACCATATCTGTGTATTCCATAAGTCGTAGAGTATGAGGTATGTCTTATCCGTAACCCTGACAGTATGTATGCATGATGACGTATGATGACATGCGCGCCTGATTTTTCTCAGAAAAAATCGGACACCCAATCCATAGGTGCCTCCGATTTGTTATATTAAGAAAATCTAATCCGATCTACTCTATCCGTTTCACAATGTAAGTCATTTTATTATTTCTCACATTCATATTGATGCTAATGAATTTAAATAGATATAATTGAATGTGGGAAATAATATAATGACTTACATTGTGAAACAGAGGAATTAGTTGAGATGGAGGAGTATATCAAACCTATGATATGAGGTATGACAAGATGCGTGCACGGCTACTCTAATCCGGAGCCGAACTAAACTGTCAACTTCGATGCACGTGGTAAGAATCACACGACCCCCCAAATTTTCTAGAAAACGCAGGTTGGAGTGCATGCTTCAGTGCACTGCAAAACTCCACAGTGAGAGTGATTCGGAATTAGTTGCCATATAATGCCAGGTCAACGTGAACTGTGTTGGTAATGTAATCCTTTCATTGGATCGATCCATGGAGAAATAACTGAGTGGTTTGAATAAACTAAGGCCTGTTTGTTTCAGCTTAAGATTATTATAATCTAGATTATTAAATTAGATTACTTTAAGCTGGATTATAATAAGCTGATATAGAATAAGCTGTGAGCTGTTTGTTTCTCTGGATTATTGGAGGCATTTAAGAGTAGTGGGTCTTTAGCCACCCAATAATTTGAAAAAAACTCCTCCAGAGAAGATTATTAGATTATAATAATCTGGCTTATAGATTATAATAATCTATCATAATAATCTACTTATTTGTTTCGGCTTACTCCTAATAATACAGATTATAATAATCCTAGCTGAATCAAACATGACCATGACCTAAGTGGTTAGATACATCCCTTTTCATTTTAAAAAAAATTAACAAATCTAATACCGTATATAATACATCCACTATTTGAAGACGTGACAGCCGAGGGGCTATTAACCGAACCCGTTTCCCTGCATCTTTGTTGCTTACTTGCAGCAAACCCTCGTCAGACAAACACCATCAATTCCTGCGTGCACGTGCAGTCAGACCGGTTTTTCTCTTATGGAAAAACCAGGCGTGCGGACTCACCCGAAACGTGCCTACACCGGACGGAGACTTGGAATGGGCTCCAGCTCCACGCAACTGGAGCGACTTAGCAGGCCGAACATGGCCGGCCCTGGATCAAACGGGCTGTGTAACCTCCTTTACGCCGAGCCAGATGACGATCGAGCATTTGTGCTGTGCCGCTTCGCAAGAGCCGACTCCCCCTGCATCTGACGGGAGCAGGTGTAGCACGACCGTTCTGCTGCCCTGCATCTGACGGGTGCTGCTGGCTGCCGCCTCGCCGGTGCAGCCGCCCAAGCAGAAGCTGGCGACCGCGGGATCCACCGGCGGCTGGCTCCACTGCTCCAGAGTCCAGAGAGCGAGGAGGAGCATCGGTTCGTTCGTTCGTTCCAGAGCTTCCTTCCAGTCCAGCGTAATGAATGCCATCGTCACCCCGTCCAATGAGGCCGCGGCCCATGCCCCTCCTCGCACACGGCACACCCTTATCCTCCCCCTTCTTGATCTTAAAATGGCAATGTGTGTAAGGATCTTCTTCTAACTCCTTTGACAACTTCGAGGTGGAGTTCGTTATTCTCTCCATTATTGGATAGAAAGAGAGGCAGAATTTAAAGTGGCCGCCGAGAATCTTCTCCTGTACTTGCATGAATCCTTTGCCCGTACTCCTTTCCCAGCCGATAAAGCACACAGAAGCCCGTACTCCTTTGCCGTCCAGTACGTACTACGCACCGGCCGCTCACCGGCACGGCCTTGTACTGGCATGCACTGACCATAAGCCCGTGCAACTTGATCGCCGTCACGCCGTCGCCGACTTGACGTATCATCCTCACAAGGAATTAGTGCAAGAAGAAACTGTTGCTGATCAGTACCAAATCTGTGTTTTCCGTTGGGTGGGTGTCAAGCACAGTTTATCTTCAGAAAAACGGATCGATGTGTCTGCATGACCAAGATTTCACACTTTCCAGCTCACCCTAACCTACACATAGACAGCCGCAAATGAGTATTGGCCAATCCACAAGGGTTCAACGAGATCAACATACAGGCCCTGCTGTTGTATATATAGCCATTAGCAACCACATTGCCATACAGTACTCAGTAGTCGTACACATTCTCTCGTACGCTTCTTCGAGCAGAATGAAGGGAGGAGGATCAAAGAGGAGATTGCTCCGGGCCTTCCTCCACTCATGGAAGAAGCTCGGCGCCGCCGCCGCCGCCGCGGCCCCGGCGGCCGGCGAGTGGGCTCCTCTCGACGGTGACGGCGAGGGCGCCATCCCGAGCGACGTGCCCCGGGGCCACACGGTGGTGTACGTCGGCGAGGAGCTGCGCCGCTACGTCGTCAGGGTGTCGTCCCTCGACCACCCGCTGTTCCGCGAGCTGCTCGACCGCGCCAGGGAGGAGTACCAGTTCGCCGCCGGCGCCGACGCGAGGCTGTGCATACCCTGCGACGAGGACATCTTCCTCGGCGTCCTCTGCCATGTCGACTCCAAGCAGGAGCACTGGAGGCTGATCTCGTTTTGCAGATAGCTAGCTGCTGTGCTGCCTGCTGATGCATGTCGTTGTTCATGCCTAGGATTGGATGTTTCGGACTCGTTGCTCCGAGGAAACGGAAGAATTAATTAATTCGCGTGAATTCTCACGTGTACAGGGGCATTTAGGCTTTGTTAGAATGTTGGCAGTTTGTTTTGGTTCCATTGTTGTATTGGATATTTGGATTCTTCAAGGATGGAGATGGACCATGAATGGTACTCCCGGCATATTTCTTTTTTCGCTTAAAGTGTGATTAGCATGCATGTAAAGATTTGCTCGAGTGAAGAAGATACAGTCTTTTCCCTGTTGGAACTTGCAATTGGTTGGACCCAACTGGATTTTTCACTTTTTTAATCCTTTTTTAAAACTTATTTTTATAAATAAACCTCTAAAGAAACTTAGACTCTTTTCACAATACCAACGTCATTGGCACCGTGGTTCAACATAACGGTGCCATGCCATCATCCCCATAACCTTCCGGCGAAAGCTAAGTCACTGATGTGAAGGGACAACACCATGAACTATTTGTAATTTTTTAAAGGACTTATTTGTGATAAAAATATTTATAAAATAAGTCTTCAATGCCGATGTCATTGGCACCCAGGATTTATTTATAAATATTTTTTATTACAAATATATCTTTTTTTATAACAAATAGATGGATTTTTATAATAAATAGGTTCGAATTCTTTTACAAATAGATCCTCGACGCTAATGACACTTCCCCCTTGACGCTAATGACATTTCCCCCTTTATACAAGTGACTTAGCTTCCGCAGGGGAGGCTAGAGCGACAGCATCAATGTCATTGGCACCATCATACTGGGCCACAACATCAGTAAAATTGGAATAAGTTTTTTAGGGGTCTATTTGTAAAATAAGTTTTCAAAAGAGTAAAAAATCCAGTGGATGCAACGTTAATTCTGTCGATCGAAGATCATCCAATCTTTGCATCTATATCTGGCCATCTGGGACATGCTTTAAGCAAACATGATGCTACAATATGACCCTTATGGAGGTAATTTATAATGCATTCAGAGTTTCAGACACAGCAATTTGATTTGTAAATGCAGAAAGAGATGGCACGGTGGAATTGCAACTGAAGGGTCTTGCTCTGTATTGACTGAGTGGCATGATCCTTTCATATCGGTAGGAATTTTTAGTTCACTTTCCTGCCATGCCAAAGAGATAAGGCACTATACTCATCTATCCAAACATGCCTAGGGTGCACTAGAAATGTGCCTTGAGTAGTGGTGGAAATGTCAAAAAGCACTCGTCGCCTATAGTTATTCCTTTCTCAATATGCTGAAATGGCTCTAGTTGAAGTCAGGCTTCTCAGGGTAAGTGCAGCCTGAGCGTTGGATGATAACGTTTGCAGCATAACAAGCAGCTCTGACACATTCATCAATGCTCTTCTCCTGAACCAATTGAGAGAGAAAACCCCCAACAAAGGCATCGCCTGCAAAACAATTGTTTAGAAAAAAAAAACCACTTATGTTTACTGACAGTTATGTCGTTTAAAGCAAGGATGTATATGCAATGTTTAAGCCAGCAAAGAGCATCCAGTGAAAGCAAGACACATAGATGTTTCTACATCATAATTTTCTAAACCGACTACCTGCACCATTGGTGTCAACAAGCTTTTCCTTGGGCAAAACGATAACAGGGAATGTTTTGACCTGCAGCAAAAAGAACATATTTAAGGTTATCGGATAAACAATTATCAGCCGAGGCTTCTGCAGATTGGGTATACTCCAACAAATATCATGTCATTAATAATGACAAACGCACTTGAGTTGTTGCTAAGATTGTAATAACACCATAAGTGAAACAAATATTGGCTACTTCAGAGAAGATCATCAATTCGGGATTCTAACTTAGGAAAAACACTAGCTACAGTACTTTCATTAACCAAGAAAAGGCAAACAAATTTACAATAGAAGAGGTTTGAACTTATGTTATGCTCTGTAAAGCATATCTCATAATATCTTATAAAGACAGGAACATATCCTTTGCACACAAGCTTTGTGTGCACACTAACTAACAAATATCACCTAATTTTTTTAAAAAAAGTGTGCATATATACTTTCAATAGTATTACACATATGCGTAATATTAACCTCAAATTCATTATATTTTAGGCATAACAAAATTTTTTTTAACAATTTCAGTCTATAAGTCAAAAATTTGTCTTTTTTGTTGCTCTCTATGTACTCCCTCCGTTTCAGGTTATAAGATATTTTGACTTTGGTCAAAGTCAAACTGTTTTAAGTTTGACTAACTTTATAGACAAATATAGTAATATTTATAATACTAAATTAGTTTCATCAAATCAATAATTGAATATATTTTCATAATAAACTTGTCTTGGGTTGAAATTGTTACTATTATTTTCTACAAACTTGGTCAAAATTAAAGCAGTTTGACTTTGACCGAAGTCAAAATGTCTTATAACCTAAACGGAGGGAGTATGATGAATTCGAAGATGAGACTTTATACATAGATGTAATGCTATTGAAAGAACATGTACAATTTTTTCTAGAAATTTTTATGATATTTATTAGTTGATGTACACATGAAGGCTTGTGTGTATAGGATACGTTCCCTATAAAGACATGCCTTGGAAAAAGAAAAAAAAAAGGAATATTTACCTTTCCATCATCAGCCACAACTACTGGGTCACAGCCTTGAGTAATGACAGTAATCCTCTTGTGTGCTCCTGAAGCCTTAGGCAATTGCGAGATCTTCAAAGCAATCTCCTCAGTATTCTCAGTCTACAATTTTTTTAATGGACAATTTGTAAATACTTTACTCACAGAACAGAATAATAGGTGATAAGTGACTATTACCTCCCAACCACGAACTTTAGCAAAGGTCCTTGCTTCAGTTTCATTTCCAAAAATATAGTCAGCATACCTAGTTTGGTGATCAAAAGAACTTTAATCCTGTTTTACATAGCACTGTATTGGAAAAATTCTAACATGGATGAAGTGCATGGGTTTAGAAGAATAATGTGCTGCAGTTGTTAATGCAACGTTGAATGTTCTATGTCAAAGTTATTTATAATAAGCATATAGTGGAACCCAGTACTCACGGAAGAGCCTTCTCTTGGGCATCACGGAAGAATTCACATATAAAGGGAGCAGAAAGGTTCATCATAAACACCTGCAAATAGTTTAATCATTTATACTGTAACAATGCTAGAAAATATTCTCCTTTTAGTAATTAGTATTTTACCTTGTTAGTTGCAGCAGCATGCTCAGCAACAAGTTGAATGGAATCCGGGGATACCGTGAGGAAAAAGCCAGCAATGTAAATATATTTTGCCTTCTCAACTACAATCAATGACCTTATTATTGTGAGAAAAGCAATCAAATGAAACACATAAACTGCACAGTAAGTAGTGGACAGTGCTAACACAATGATGGACTGACAAAATAAACAGTTCAAGACTCATTTTTATTACCAAGTGTCCAGTTCTCTGGCCTCTTCAGATGTTCAGACCTGTAGCAGTTCGCTGCAGACAAGTTTGCAACAAGTGACCTGATACAGACAGAAGGAACTCATTTAATTGTTCCTTTTTGGCAGGACCAGAGTAGCAACTTTAGGGAGATTTAAGTGCCACGATATCAGCAGTAAATGTACTAATAGATAAAACGAAATAACTTATCAGGTGATTCTATTAGATATCGCTTTACTCAGCATACCTTTCACCACCAACAATGCAGACAGCACATGTGCCAGTAGGAGCATTATCATCCTCATAATAATGGGCCTGTTTAAAGATGGTAAGGTCAAGGCAGTATGTGCAGTGGTGCAACTGAGTGAAGAGGCATAAAAATGGAAGAAATTTAAAACATAAAGAGGAACTTATAACTTGCATTAACACCAGCGGTTTGTGCGTCTTTCTTCATCTCCTCACCGAACTTGTCCTTCCCAATGCAACCCATGTAACTTGTTGCACCAGGAATCTGGAGCATCCACTGCAATAAATATTAATAATAATAATCAAGAGTGTTGTGATCTAGTAGTAACTTCTGGGCACATAAAGAACATAATGCTAGCACTCAGTATTTTTTGAACTTACCTGAGCAACCCTAATAGAATTTTGAGTGGATCCTGAAAGAATCGAACACAATAAATTCAAATAAAATATAAACCATGAAACAATAATTCATCACATTGAAGTCGTAGGTTAATGTATATGGTGTGGTAATATTACCTCCAGCGATATATTCAACATTGACCTTGCTAGCCAATTCATTGTACCTGGCACATAACACACAAATCCACAATATTCAGCAATCACTAAGGCACATCCTATTTGGCATGATTAATGTTAGGATTTTGGAAAAAAAAATCCAGTGTTGCAAGGTTTCAGGGGGAGAAAGAAACTTACATAGGCAAATGCTTCTCCTCTGCTAGAATTGCATTCCCTGGCTTGATATCATATCTATTGAGTTCAAAGGCGCAGAGATAAACATTCAGTTAGATCATGCGAACTACTTTTTTATCACTCAGCGCAAGCAAACGAGAGAGCATGTTCCAGGCCATTAATGAATCTATACTGAAGCAACATGTCATCGTGGAACATACATCACCCCCTCCACCCCTCCACCCTTCCAAACCCCCAAAGGCCCCAAGTGGAAAATATCATCATTTTCCAGGACCGAGCTGTCCGAGAATACACATCAAGTATAAATTTGCCAATGAATATAAAGGGTATAGTTACTGGATGAACAATTGAAATACTGGAATTCCGGTCCTTTTAGCACAAGTTTACAGGGCCATGTCCACTGAGCCGCATGCTCAAAACTCACACATACTGTTCTTCACAGTGAGAAAGGCTCTACTTGTCAAACTCGCATGAGTATAACAGTTACTTCACCAAAAATTGGCAGAAGAGTACAGTCTTACAGACTACAGAGACCATAGGTTTTAATCGAGAGATCATTACAGCACACGAAGAGGGCTGTTGGGGTGGTTCATACTTTGCGAGGAAGGCCTCGTCGACGACGGCGGAGATGTCGAGGAGGGGGTTTCCCATGCCCAGGAGGACGCCCTCGTAGCTTCCGCTCTCCATCCTTCCCTAGATCCCCGGCGAACGGTGCGGCGGCGGCGGGGGCGGCGGAGAGAGATTACCGGCGTTGCTTTGCTTCTGCGTGGAACAGTTGGGGAAGGAGGCTGAGGAGGTCAGATCGACTTCGCGAGGGATCTTTTTGCAGCTGCCACGGAAGCATCGGCCTGCCTATCACGGAGGCCCACGTGACCACGGCCCAACACCTCAGCCCACCACGTGCCGGGCCTCTCGCTCGAGCAGGCCCACAGCGTTTCCGGCTCCACTCAATCTGTGACACGCAATTGATCCAACATTAAAATGGGTCGATAATTGCGGTTATCGGTCTTATTATCAGGTTTGTCAGTTAATTAAAAAAATTTGAGACTATCTATACATAAATTCTCTCTTATCTATCTAAAAATTTATCAGTTGTAAATATATTATAATCACAGTATAAATTATATTGTATTGTGTATGTAATTTTTAAAAATCCCATCATAATATGCTATTTCCGTAAAGTGTAGGACCGAATCCTCTCACGCTATGCGTGTGTTGTGATTTTTCCTTCCTCGAGTATACAAATCTTGAGGCAAATTCTAATTGATTAAAATTATACGTGAAATTTGCGTTGTAGTTACATAAGTACAAGTTATAATTATGTTATATATAAATTTAACGATCTTTTTTGAGAAAATTTATCAACACATATAAAGCAAAATCGAAAAAAAGGTAGTATTCAAATTGTTTGACAAATATATGCTTGGTTTTGCCCCTTCTCTTCATCGTAAAGTATTTTCGCCAACGCGTAAAAGGATTACACACATCGAGCAGTAACCTCGCTTAACGACGACGGAGTGGTAACCCGTAACCGGTGACCAACTGTGTTTGTAAACCTTGAGAATTGGATTGTTGGAATCGAGTATATGTTGGTGTCAATCACACACACTCAGTCTAGCTCAGTCGTTGGTGGTATTAGTTCAGTTGAGCAGTCCCTCTTTCATGTTAGAAAAAGGGCAGTTCGGTTGAACAATAGCACTATACTCGGAACTAGTGGAGTGGTAGTTGGAACCAACGTTCACAGGTAAGCGATATGTACATCCATCTACCTCCGAACCTGAGGTCAAACGGATGCTTTCCTCACCAACCCCTTTCTCTGCAGGACGGACGCATCACTATCTAATTCTTGACCGACCTTCCCTGGACTGTCAAGGGGGGCAAACTTATATCTAGCTTCGTTTGGTAGATGACAGCAACATGCTTTTCAACTTGTTTTTAGGTTGCTCAGGAAGCATCGCCTCCTGATTCATCTCAGCATCTCGATCTGCCTTTATCGATTTATCCTGAACCATGATTTGCCAGCTGCATTGCTGCAATGTGCATTTTAATCATCCCGTTTGTCGCTCCAGTTTGCACGTCCAACTGTACAGAGATGCAGAGAGCCCAACAGATCTCTGATCATTACACGAAACGAAATTCAGAGTTTCAGACGGATGAGAAATTAAGCCGCTCTTCCCTTTGTCAGCGCTAAGCATCTATGCGAGATTTGACTTCCATTCTCGACAGAAACTAACCACGATATGGGGCTTGCGGCGACATCACGGGATCCGCTGCATGCATGGACAGGCTGACTGCTAACGGCACCACATGCACGGTGTAGCAGCAGCAGACACGCACCAATCTACTCCTAGCTTAGCAATTAACATGGTGCATCATGGTTTGCGGCAACCACCAGTCCACCACCACCCTACATCCATATCTGTGGCAGTCTCGCTCCGATCGCTCAAGTGCTCATGCAAAGCTGCACGCGAGGCTGAACATGGACAGGAGATCGAAGGATGGATCGTGCTACGATCTCGCTAGCTCGTCTTGCATTGTTTGACGAAGTGAGAACAGAATCTCACACGTACGCTGTACCTAACCTGCGAGGCTGGAGTGCTGGACGGCCGCCATGTTGATGCCTCGACTGATCGAGTTTTTTGTCGGGGTTCAGTTTTGTCGTGAATTGGGGGAATATTCGGTGTGCTCATGTACTCATGTTCATGGCGATGGATTCATGGTCCTGAGCAGAGTATCTGTCTGCTCATAGGATGCTAGCAGAGTATCTGCAGGTACCATTTAGCTAAGCAAATACTCTCTCCATCCCTAAATATTTGACACCGTTGACTTTTTTAAATATGTTTGACTGTTCGTCTTATTAAAAAAATTTAAGTAATTACTAATTCTTTTTCTATCATTTGATTCATTGTTAAATATACTTTTATGCATACATATAGTTTTACATATTTCACAAAAGTTTTTAAATAAGACGAATAATCAAACATGTTTAAAAAAGTCAACGGCGTTAAATATTTAGGGAATGAAGGAGTAATATATTGCCGTACATGCATGTTCAGGCAGCTCATTTCTTTTTCTCAATTTGGCACGTAGGACGAATAATAATTGTCTGTCCATTTCTTCCAACCAAAGAAACACAAGGTTCTTTGGTCCTAAGAGTATTATTATAAATGCAGTCACATGGTTCATGACTAAACAATAGATGTATCAAGTATTTGACTTTCATCTGGATTATCAAATGAGCTATGACGCATTGGTGCGATGAAGAAACTATAGGAGTATGTTACTACGGTAATTTTCAAAATAGTTCCAACTATCAGCTACTTCCCCGTTTCAAAATATAGCAACATAGTATTAGAATAGTTCTTGTTATATCGGAACCCCACCCCCACCCTAGAAATTATTTCACCCAACTATTTTTTTCATCTTTTTGTGAATTTATTTAAAAATTCAAATAATTTGGGACCAAAATTGGTCATATCACTAACCCTCGATACAAATAGCGAAATGAGATTTTGAACCCTATGCCAGATTAGACATAATCTAGCACTGTGAACGTGGACAGAACCTTATCCACTCTACCTTACCACTTCCCCTCCACCGTCATTGTACCTTCCCACCACGTAAAAAAATCACACTGCCTAAAAACCACCCACCTAAAAGAATTATTTCCACGAGAAAATCAACCCTCTAGAAAAAACTGGAAGATAAAATTGAACCCCATAAAAACTTACGTCCATGTTTTTCATAATCCTGTTGCAAAGCATGAGTATAACATAGAAAGCTTTTGTTTATATGACGGTTCTTATAGTAGGGCCTAGAGCCGTACCTCCTATTCGACCAAGACATGACTTTGAGCCTTTGAGCATATCCTAACGGAAGGTGAACATTTTTCAACTTCTCTAACAGTTAAACTAGAAGAAGATCAAGCCATTCAGGAATGACATTGTGCCAACTAGGCAAGTAGTACTTGAGCTAGCTAGCCGGGTGGATATAATTAGAGCATACCATAAGGGGGGCGAATGGTACACGAAGAATGAGAAAGAAGCTTAGCGGATGCACCATTAGGTAAAAATATTCTCGTAGGAGATATCGAGGGGACTGTCCCAATCATTCTAGCAAGCTAGTGCCATCTATCCTAGGGGACCACCTAAATGTACAAATACTCCCTCCATACTCATAAAGGAAGTCGTTTAGGACAATGTTTAAGTCAAACCTTGGGAATATAAATCATAAATAACTCTCAAGTTGTTGAGTTTGAAAATGTAAAAAATATATAAATAGATTTGTATTGAAAAATACTTTCATACAAATATACATATATCACTTTTTAATAAATATTTTTATAGAAACAAGAAGTTAAAGTTGTGTTTTGGAGACCGTGTCGCTGTCCTAAACGACTTCCTTTATGAGTATGGAGGGAGTATACCTTATGGTTTCGATCTCTTCGGGATATTTTTTTTTCACTCCGTGTATACCTCTTGAGGCTGTATAAGGCAGCCCAATCCTGTAACAGAGACATGATACTTTTTACTGAAACAATGGTGGCAAGTGTCTGTCAATATATCTCAAGTTCACTTCACTTTTTGGAAATGAAACCTATCCCCTAATTTATTCTTGACCTTGGTTCCCAACAATGGTCATGGTCCATCTTAAACTCTCCAGGGCCCAGGCTAAAGTATTTCTCCATCGACTAAAAGAACCCCTAATTTGAAAAGTACACATAAATCGTATGCATAGTATTTGCATACGATACTTGTACGATGCAACATTTGCCAGCCAAATCCCATGGCATTTTCTGGCCGTTTCTAACGAAGAAACACATGAATCTCGTGTTTTTACTCTATATTAAGATATTAAGATATTAACAAATTTGGTTGTTAACACACATCCACCATCTGTTAGCAATCGTACAATGATCGTACACATAAATCGTATGCATAGTATTTTCTAATTTCCTCGTGTTGTTTTTGTAACAGTAACACTTCGTATCTCCGGTGGTAGGTAGGACGAGTGGACCTCTTAATCTGCGTTGGCTGATCGACAGTACTGACCGTCTGTTTCGCATCAAATCGTGCTCTGCACCTGCCAAGTAGCTACTGGTCCAGCAAGCATGAGCTGATGAGCACACGAGAGATTTCTGTCACTCTCACCCTTGAAAGAGGACAGCAGACAGACAACACCCAGCAAAACTATCTCTTGCAGAGTTGCAGTTCCCGCCATCAACCGATCGATATCAGTGATCAGTTCGAAAGAAGTGGACGTAACCAGTTCAGAGTTGAGATGACCAATTTCAACACATGTAATCAAGATAGCGCTATATTAGTATATTTCACTTGCAAAATACAACAACGGAATCAGAAAGCTGCCAGCCAAGGCCATGAACGCTGCAGGCGCCACGGCATTGCAGCAGCAATCTCACACGATTACAACACGGATAAATACAGCAAGCTCAAAAAGGAAAAAAAAAACACGGACGGAGAAACAACGTAATCTGCTGATGAGCGTACGAGAAGCCTTCAGGATCCTGAATTCCTCCCTTTCTTATTTCGGTGCACGTATCGTCTCTTCCTGGATCTTGTCGCGTTCGCGGGTGGACTGGTTCGATCAGCAGATGGGCAGGGGCTCGCCGTTCCACTCCTTGAGGCACTCGAGCATCGGGTCGATGAGCTTGCGCTCGCTGATGGCCAGGAACACCTTGTTGCACTCCTCGCCGGGGGACTTGAGCTTCTCTCCGGTGAGGTACACGCAGCCGAGCTCCTCGCGGACGAAGCGGTACAGCGGGAACGACCTGCTCTCCTTGATCCTGTTGGTGATCGGCGCGGTGCCGGTCTCGAACGCCACGCGCGCCGCCTCCATCTCCCTGGGCAGCGCCTCGCGGAGCTCCTCCTCGAACGCGGTGATCTTGGAGAACACGGAGGAGCCGTCGTCCTTCTCGGCGGGGCCGTTGGCGAGGGCGTGCTCGACGAGCACGGCGCGGATCTTGGTCATCAGCGGGTAGTTGGCGCTGCACGGGTCGTCGGCGTAGCTGTACACGGCCTCGCGGTCGATGGCGGTGAGCAGGGCCTTCTCGCTGAAGCGCGCGCTGTGGAGGCCGCCGGCGGGGCCCGTGGTGAGCACCTTCTTGGCCACCGTCGTCACGCAGTTCTTGACGGCGCTCTTGAGGTTCTCCTCCAGGTGGCGCAGGTCGACGGCCTGGCAGAGCGCAACCAGGTAGGTGGAGGACATGAGCTTGAGGATGTCCACCGCCTCGGCGGTCTTCCTGGCGGAGACGAGGCCGAGGGAGTTGACGTCCTGGTTGTGCTGCTCCGCGCTCTGGACGTGGTTGGTGACCGGGTTGGCGAGGAACTGGAGCTCCGAGCAGTAGGAGGCCATGGCGATCTCGGTGCCCTTGAAGCCGTAGTCCAAGCTCGGGTTGCGGCTGCCGGCCAGGTTTGACGTGAGCCCGTTGTTGTAGAACTCGTTGACCAGCTCGGAGAACTGGGCGAACATGAGCTTGCCGATGTTGGCGATGGCGAGGCGGGTGTTGTCCATGGACACGCCGATGGGCGTGCCCTGGAAGTTGCCGCCGTGCAGGGCCTTGCCGCGGTGGACGTCGATGACCGGGTTGTCGTTCACCGAGTTGACCTCGCGCTCGATCGACTTGGTGGCCGCGCGGATGACCTCGATCTGGGGTCCCAGCCACTGCGGCGACGTGCGGAGCGCGTACCTGTCCTGCTTCGGCTTCAGCAGCGGGTCCACCTCGTTCACCTTCTGCGCGTGCGGCATGAACGCGCTGCCGGCGAGGATGTGCTCCATGATGGCGGCGGCCTCGATCGAGCCCGGGTGGTGCTTCAGCTTGTGCGTCAGGTGGTCGGTGTACTCGGGCTTGCCGTTCATCACCTCGCAGAACACGGCGGACAGCACCTCGGACAGGACGGCGAGGACGTTCGCGTCGTAGAGCACCATGGCAGCGAGGGCCGAGCCCACGGAGGTGCCGTTCACGATGGCGAGACCTTCCTTGGGCTCCAGCCTGAAGAAGCCGCCCTGGATGCCGGCGATCTTGAACGCCTCGGCGGCGTCCACCTTCTTGCCATCGACGGTCACCGCCTGCGCGTTGGGGCGCCCGGTGATGAGGCCGGCAATGTAGGACAGCGGCACGAGGTCGCCGGACGCCGTGATGGTGCCTCGGAGCGGCAGGCATGGGCTGACCCCGGTGTTGATCAGCTTGGTGATCGCCTCGAGGATCTCGAAGCGGATGCCCGAGTAGCCCTGGAGCAGGGTGTTGATGCGCACAAGCATCGCCGCACGCGACACCTCCGACGGCAGCGAGTTGCCATCGGAGCCGTTGCCGAAGATTCCGGCATTGAGATGCCTGCAGGGCCGTGAAACAGAGCAATTCTTTCAGCTTTGCAACCTCTCAGTATACTGTGGGTGAAAGAAGACTATGTACTAATTACGTTTCACAAATATCTACTGAAAATTAACCTGTTTGTTCGTCCATGATTGGAGTTAATCAGTTACTACTACTACTCCATCCGCCCTAAAATATAAGTATTTTTAGAACAGTGCGAAGTCAAACTTTTTAAATTTTAACCATTAATAGCAAATAAATTAAAAAGATTAATCATGTAAATTTGATGTTACTATATTTATCATTAAGCGAGCTATCATAATATGCAACTCTCTTTATTTAAAACATCTTACTTTTATAGATATTGTTGGTCAAAGTAAATACTTGTATTTTGGGACTAACTAACTATTCGAGATCTTTCGTTTTGCTTCAACATTCATGTCCTCTGTTGTGGTACTACCTAACATGGCAGTAGTAGTGTAGTACAGCAGCTAAAAACAAGTGGCACGCAGTTCTAAAATCTGCAGCTCTGCATCAGACCGAGAGGTAGTACGTGCACACCAAGATAACTGCAACAACTGGCCGTTCACCGACGCACGGAGGTTGCACATGATGGCATTATCATCGGAAGCAACAAAACGACTCGTACGTACAGTAAAATGGCTCTTTGATTAGTGATTTTTTTTTACTGTACCTGAGCAGCTCAACTTGGAGGGCCTGGCCGTCCTTGGTGCGGCGGTGGGAGGTGCCGCCGAAGCCGGTGGTGACGCCGTAGATGTCGCCGCCGTGGGCGATGCAGTTGAGGATCCACTCGCTGCTGGCCTTGACGCGGGGGCGGGCCTCCTCGTCCAGCTCGACCACCACGCCGGAGGCGTCCTTGGCCGCGGAGACGGCGGCCACCTGGCCGACGCGGAGGCTGGACCCCTCGATCTTCACCACGGCCTCCCGTGACTGCGCCACCATGCGCTTCACCTCGTCCAGGTGGCTCCCCGTCATCTCCAGCGCCGCCTTGCCCCACGACAGCGGGTCGCTCGCGACGAACCCCGTGGCGTCGGCGGTCTGGCTCGCCATCTCTCCGAGCGGTGGTGGCGAACAACGACGAGGAGGAGGAGGAGGAGCTGGGTGGTGGTGGAAGAAGAGCTGAGACTATAGAGAGGCTGCTGTGTGCTCTTCTTGGAGGGAAACGGAGTGCGGGAGATCGCTTAAATAGCAGACGGGTGACCAGCTGGGTTTTGGTGAGGCCGGGTGTTGGTGGATTAGTTGGTGACTGGTAAGGTGTATGGTGGATTGGTGGATCGAAACTTAATGCTTTTTTATTGATTTTTTAAGCATTTCAATTGAACGTCAAGTAGTCCAGTGTACTAGTACTATGCTTTTGGTTGGGAAATTGGAAATGAGTCTACTGGAACACGAATGTAAATATGTCATAAGGCCTACTCTCTCCGTCTAAAAAAAATCAACCGATCCCTCTTAAGATAATGAATCTGGACATCCTCTTCTGGTTGAATTATTTTTGGGATGGAGGGAGTAACTTGCGTGGAGGCAGTTCAACTACAGTGAGACTCAAGGGGACGAGAGACTAACCGTGTCTGAAGGAAGATGCTTTCTGCTAGCAGTTGCCACTACATCGTCGTTGTTGAATCCAACAGACGGTATGGTTTAACTGCTATTACTAGCTTACAAGTATAAGCTCCACTCTACTTAGTGTCAGCTGAAAGATTAGGATGTGTTCTGGAGTGAGGGTTTAGAACCTTACTCCTTAACACGCAAAACGAAGAAGCATTTAGCATATAATTAATTAAGTATTAACTAAAATAGATTAATATAATTTTTTAAAGTAACTTTCGTATAGAAAATTTTTTTAAAAACGCACAGTTTAGCAGTTTGAAAAATGTGCGCGTGGAAAATGAAGGAGGTAAGTTGGAAAACTAGAGATAAGAACTCAGCCTAAGGTAAGATGAGAAAATCATTAACATATTATTAATTAAGTTTTTAATTATTTAAAACTTAAGAGTAGATTTATATGATATTTTTAAACAATTTGTATATAAAATAGTAATATAATTTAGCAGTTTTTTAAACACAGTACAAACGCCGATGTTTAACAACACACGCACACTCACCCATATGAACACATGTGCACGCATCCTATCTCTATGAATACATTCAGAAAATAAACTAACAATTTTAAGATTGACTAGTAATCGTGCACGTGCAAGACACGTTTTGGAAAGATAAAATGTTGGCATAAAATCTTTTATAATATAAGCTTACACGAAGATGAACTCTTTGATGATTCTTTCAGATCAAATCACATATGTTGCTGAATTCCATAACTCTATTTCTAAGTGATTAAGAACTGTCGGGAATAAACAGTGTCCACCCTAGAGAAGCATGCACTGAAGATGTGCAATATTAGTCACAACATCTGCAGTAGGCCTTAGTATATTATCATCATCCAATAATTATTTTTTCTGGTATAAAAGGAGTAGATGAAGACAAGAAACTAATTACCAGAGATAACCACCTTAGTAAATTATCCTGGAAACTCTTAAATCCAAACGATTGTAGATAAATGAACATAGTAATAATGTTATAGGCTTTTCAACCATGTACATCTTCAGTTTTCCTATGCAGCTGGTCGTTAATAATTAATAAAACATGTGAATCGACAAAAAGCATCATACCAAAAGATTCTATAAATGTGCAAAAAGTCAACATGGTGAAAGAAAGAGTATAAACTCACATGCCACATTCCATACATGGTGAAAGCAAGACAATAAACTCACCCATGCCACATTTCTTGCTAGGAGCATATGCTCTGTTCATATATCATGAGAGAATGGTCAGTACTCAGTAGTACAAATAACAACCAATCCCATAGAATAATTATGTATTCATGCATCAGTGTAACTTCAGTTTTACATTCAATAAGGAATACTTATCTAAAATGAAGACTAAAATGAGAGGATTAGGGTTATACTCATCATTTACTTTCTGGTAAACAAAAAATTGTAAATATCCAGGTGGATACATATGTTTTTCTCAGGGGAACAACTAACGATGCCATGAAAACTTTTTCCTCACACTTTCCTCCCTCTGAAGATAACACCCCCCGGCCCGATCTGAGCAGTTAATATTGCTAATAAAAGGATGCATGGGCCATGGTTCCAATGTTATACGGAAACATTAACATAAACTATTGAAACTGAATGGTGAGCTATTTCTGCAGTATAAAATTCACATTTATATGTGCATAGATGAATGAACAGTACATACTTGAAAGCATGAATGTTACCTGTGAAGCAATTGCAGAGCAGTAAATTGAGTGCTTTGCAAATAAATTTCCTGCAAAAAGAAGAAAAGTAGCAACTGAACACCCATATCAAAAAGAGTTATGGGTTGAACCATATCACTCTTACATCAAAATTATGTGGAGAAAGCATACCTTTTGACCCAAAATTCTTAGTATTTGTTTTAGGTAACTTATTAATGCCCATACAAACTAAATTGAAGGAAGTTTTCTTTACATGGTTTCTACCTTTTTACCTGGTGAGCTTATCAACCACCCCAAATATCATTTTTCAGAGTTCTTGCCCCAACAGAGAGAAACAATATGAAAGTATATTTACAATGACTACTGTTACATATTGGAAAAGGAATCGAATGGCAATGCACATGCATATAGCTATATCAAAATCCTTTTTTGCGCGGAGATATATCAAAATATTCATACTAAAACCAGCAACGAAAATAATTTGTGTGAATTAAAATAAAAAAGTGGTTTAGATAGTTAATTGTGGATTGAAGAAATAAATATAAGGATGCAATGGCGACACATATTCATTTTATATCTTCTATTATTCAGCATAGGAATGGTTTCAGATTTTTCAGGTTTTACAGATAGAAGCAATAACAATATTCCAATATAAACACAAGAGGAACACTCTTACTTGTTGGTGACATCTATAAACGGGAGGCACCAGGGTGTCAATTTAGCTTTCTAGCGTTCATGTCCTACTTATAAAAATCATCCCAGCATTGTTGTTTGCCTGAATTAGCTGTAGAAAAAAATATTATTGAATGGATACACAAATTATCTCTAGAAAAAGTCTGCACTACAAAACATAGAAACATGATGTAGTATATCAATTTTAACATATAGAATCAATAAATCACACTAATCTGCTCTGCTTGCTGGGCCTCACAGCTCATAACGACAACAACCGCACATTTCTTCGGAATTTTGATCATTGCAAGCATGTCATATGCTCTCTGTAAATGTAATGTGCATGGGTGTCATATCGGGTTGCTATTCAAAATTCATATAAAAAAATTTATACTGCACCACTGTGAGTTTATGACTTACATATTTATGCTAACTGTATCCAAATGAGATTATAATCATTTTCAGCTTACCTCTAATAGTAATAGAGGCAGACCAATTTATTGCTCCATATGCTTCCTTTCTTCTGCTAGGACCGCTACATGTACTCTCAATTCTTTTGAAGCACTCATTCCTTTTGTCAGCAGTGAGGGAGGGATACTTCGTTCTAGCATGTTTTCTACTTAATTTGAGTCAACTTAAATTTTAGTTTCTACATGATGATGTTCCATATCTTTTTTTTGGGGAGGAGGAGAGGTGTGGTAAGCAGAACAGAACAGAACATGACCGAAGAGGGAAAAGATCAGCTATAGGAAAGCATAATACCAGTGACATAATTGCAGGAGGCTGACTTGACCAGCCTCCTTTTCTGCCTCCACCAATTGTTATTTATATGCATTCTTTTATCAGCAAGCGCCCATTGATCCTGCAATTCATGCATTAGAAAACAAAATTAAGACTAATCAAATACAGCTGACAATAACAAATTAGCTAGCTGCATATTATATTTTCTAGCTCTTCGACTCCTAACCATTATGCATGAACCATGCTTACGCCCTTGCGCAGAATAAAGGCTTACATTTTTGCATAGCAGAAAGGCATGATTCTTTGCCTCAATTATTTTTTCACATCATGATTAGTGGCAAGCAATATTGAACAGTAAAGGAAAATATTCACATTGTTCACAGTGACTAATACAGTATCAAGTTTGAAAGAAATACAAAGAAATCACCTAGAGAAAACTCACATAGATTACGTAAGCAACCTGTACCACTAATGAAAACATCCAATAACACTTCGAGCAAAACATTGGTTATAATTAGCAGTTATTCAGTCAAATTGTCCCAATATTTCTGGATTGGTCTTCAGATGAAAAATCACATGTTACTCGTAATGTAGCGGCAAGCAACTTGACTGCAGCTTCTCCATACTTTTCACCATTTCTACAACTTGACTGCCTAGTGCTGTTTGACAGCTTCCAACTCTTGGAGAATCCCTCGTGATTCAGCATCAAGCATGACATAACAGGAATAGTATCAGCAATCACCGCAGCATCGTGGTACCATGGCCACCTGTGGGCGCCAGCAATTATAAGCAACATCGTGGCAAATTTGTAGAAGATTTGCAATCAAAATTGACACTAAACCAAGAGATTATTAGGGTAAATACCTAGGGTTGATGAACGTCTCTGTGACGGCAATCAGGCAGAAGTCAAGGGCCACAATATGGTGTTGAAGAAGGTGGTGGTCTGGCAACCTGGATGTTGGCCTCGGCAGTGAAGCTGCAAAGGGGCACAGGACAGCGACTACACGGTGGAGTGGACTGCGATCTGGCGGTGAGGGGCTCAGGTGGTGAACACAACAATGGAGCCTGCTGCAGACTCATGGCAGAAGGGCTCAGGGTTGGAGGGCCTCGGCGGCGGAGCAGCCAGATCCACACGATCTCGGGGTGGTGGCCTTGGCAGCGGAGCGGCTGGATCGGGCCATTTGGCAATCAAGCGTTGATCGCTGAAGTCCGCTGCTTTGCATCGAGCGAGGGAGATCGCGATTGAGGTCTGAGCGCATAGAAACATATCAAACTTCAACAAAAATGGAAAATTATGGTCACTTGTTTTTAGATCGTGTTCGTACGGAGAAGATTAGGGATTAGGGAAAGAGACAGGATTTGAGGGACTTATTGAGGGACTTACTTGATGAGGGGCCGAGGCCTGCTCCGGCGGCGGCTCCGAGTAAGAGTCCGGCGGAGCTCCGGCAGAGCTCCGGCAAGGATGCGGCAGAGCGGCGGCAGCAGGGAGGAGGAGGCATGAGCGAAGAGGTCGGCCGTGTCGGTGGGGATGGGGAAGAAGCAAGACCCGGAGGTGGGAAAGAAGAAGGACCCGGCGGCGGCTACGGCATGGCGCGGAGGAGCGGCGGCAGCGGGGAGGAGCTCCTGCCAGGACGCGGGGAGGAGGAGGAGCGAGCGAGGAGGAGAGGTGCGGTCTTCGGGGCTGCGGGTGGATGAGGAGCAATGTCTTCGCGCGTGCAATCCTCGGGTGCCAAATCGTGAGGTGGAAAAAGTTGTGCGCGGATGGACGGCTCAGATTAATCCGGGTGATTTGGCCTGTAGCATTGGAGGGGGGCAACTCCTCCTTTTTATATTAGTATAGATGAAATCAGTACAAACGATTCACTATCGATGGGTTACAACATCTTTTTTTTAGATAATGGATATTTTATACCCGGCTTCATCTATCAAAAGATAGACTCATGCCAATTATAACAAACGTTCTTACAGAGTAACACTTGGAAACAAAACCGAGATAAAAGTTCAGACGACTAAAGACCGATGTGTCTAGCTGATAACCATCCATTGGAACTAAAAAATTGCAAAGCTGATGACTCAAGATGTTGCGATGCCGCGATCAACTGTGAACGCAAATCCTCAATGCCGTTGCAGCTTCGCCCATTAGGTTACAACATCTACCACTGAATAAATAATTAATCATACCATAAAGAACCTAACAATTGAGTTAGGCTTACTTCGCTATCATTTAATAGCTTGAAAAACATGATAATAAAAATTGAGCTAAAATATGTATCTCAATCGGAAACAAACGGGGCACGGTAGATTCGTCATTTCTCCCCACGGTGCTAGATACGGGGGGTTGATCCCGATCTCGTGTCGTCAGTACGTGCTCAACAACCATAGGGCCACGGTAGATTTGTCATTCGAGTGTGCTGGTGTTGGTGACTTGGTGTTGGCCGCTGAACGCTAATGGTTTCGCCCGCCGTCACGTTGCACAGCGGGGGCCAAACTTTACACAGCACCGTTTCGGCGTCGCGAGATCAAGAGCGGTGCAGGTGCAAATCTCACCAACCCTGAAAGGGGGAAACGAGGGTTGTTGTGTTTCACTTTTTTAAATTTTCCTTGGGCACCCAACTGTTGCGAACCAGGGTTGTTGGCACTTGAGGAGGTCCAATTATTGTGCGTCTCGGCTAGTAGTACTAGTTGTCTTTCATCGCTAAGGGCCATTTCTGGTGTCTTTAATTACGTGCACATAACGTCACACGATGGCCATCTAATTAAGCGCCTGTCAAAAACTAATTGCCCCAATTAAACACTTGCCACTACTGACATATACGAACAAATGAGCAATAACGGAAGGTCTCATCTCATAATATAAACAGTTGCAAGTATCAAGAACACTTCAATTTTATCAGTTAGGAGCAGTTCTGTTAGCCGATAACGACATATGCAGTATTACAGGCATACTTAAGAAGATTGATGTCTACAGTACTATTATCTTTCTGCATTCTCTCTCATTATATATACAAGACCATATGATTAGTCCGCATATCATACTCTTATTTAAAAAATAAAAATTAGTTAGAGCCTCATACATGAAAAAGAATCCATGAACAGAAGTACCTCTACTTTCTTTTGCCACACAAATGCAAAATTCATGTCACGGTATACAAATACAAAAGAGACTTATACATCAGTTGTGAGTTAGAAATGTAATGTATCTAAAGCAGTGAAAAAAAAACTTTTTCACCATCAGAATGCACTACGTCATCAAAGAAATATTGGCGGTCCGATTTTCTGTTACGAATGATATGAGCCGTCAAATTCCTTGATTGGCAAAACATCTTCTATATCCTTCGTAAAAGTTCTTTCACAATCAAACCCTTCCACATCCCTGTTCTTATTATTTCCATTTTCACCCCTACTTTCAGACTACCACGCTGCCGTGCGTGCCGCTTCCTTCTCGCCCCTCGTTGCACCGCCGCCACTCTTGAGAGGCCAAGACGCCGACTCCTTCTCCGCCCGCCGTCTCTTGTGATTGTCTTCTCCTCCCCAATGCAACCACCGCTTCCTCCACTCCCACTCCCGTCGCCGTCACGCCTCCTAGCCTTATTCCCTCCCCATCTCCAAAGCGTCGCATCTCCTCCCAATCTCCACCACATTAGTTGTGGGTTCGTACTTCCATGAAAAATAAACAGGCCCAACAATATATCACGCAGACAAATCAATGGTATAGGTAGACTTATTGAATTCTGCCTAATCAATAGTATAGATAGACTTCTCATCCCTTTTAATTTTATATTGCAATCTACAAACAAATCAATCTAAACTTTTTAATAACTAGCACGAAAAAAATACATGTGTGTTACAATGGAAAAACTTTAATCTATCATGCTAAATCGTGCAACAAGTGCTTAGGGACACTCTGCCGCCGCGGCACCGCGGGGCCGGTGAGGTGGTGATGCTAGCTCATAGGTACCGGTTCGTTTGAAACCGACACCTATTGATTGTCCCACATCTTTGCTTGGTGGAAAATCATGAAAACGGCTACCTTTGAGTAACTGTTGGTGAAAACGACTACCTTTGAGTATATGTAGGTGCTGATTTTAAATAAAACCGACATCTATGCTGTGAGTACCATTTTTTAGAAGAATCAATAGCTATAATATATTTATAGGTCTAGGTTTTTAAAAATCGACACATATACTAATATTGTAGTTGCTGGTTTTAAAAAAACTAGCAGGAGCTGACCGAATCCAACTAACCTTATCTACTCCCAGACATCCTTATCCCCACACTTGCTCCCACTCCTTCCTCCTCCTCCATACCGCCTCCAACGCGCCTCGTTGGCCTCATCGTCGCGGCCCTCCTCTTCCCTCTCCCTCTCGCATCTCCCCCGCGCAGCGGTGGCTGTGGCTCCCTAGCGGCGTGACGGCTCGTGATCTGGCCCTCGAGCTCAGGACCTCCACAACGGCGAGGAGAAGGTCTAGAGAGGAGCAGCGGCGGCCTCCCCGCTCTCCCCTCCCACCCCTCTCATCTCATGTGTGATTTATTTTGTGATTTTGCCTCTCCTCTCATTACCTAAGTGATTTATTTTGTGATTTTCAATTGAATTGTCTCGTGTCCTGTGATTTATTTTGGGATGATTTTTTGATGATTCCGATTATATTGGGATTTAGTTTTTAGGTTAGATTTTTGATGAGTTGGGCTTGGTTGTGGGATCTTTAGAGCGGACCCACGTTGACACGGGCAGACGACAGATGAAGCGGATAGGAGGTGCACACGATGCGGACGACAGACTAAGATGGTCGAAAAACCTCCCTGAAGTTTTACGTATTTTTTAATTAGATATAAATGTATACTCGTAGTATATACATCCAGTAAATAATACCATAAAAGTTGTTAAATTTTAATGGGCCTAATTAATACTGATAAAATAGGAGCATGTAGTTATCAAATTCAGGTGGGGAAACCCTCCCCTCCTGTCACCAATAAAAAAAAGAGTATATCTAGCATAAAGTTGTCAAATGGCCAGAGTTGATTCACAACAAACCTACGAATCCAACCATTTGGAAGTACCTGGTAATAAAAGAGAAGAACATCAGATGACGTCGTTCCAAAGCTTAGCAAAAGTTCGGTGTGAATCTTATTCCAGCACGCAGCAGCTAGCAGTTGAAAGCTGAAACTACCAGGCAAAGTGAAACCGATGCACCCAGCCACCCACGCACACGGCTCCAAAATTTGTAGGCCAACAAAAATGTACCGCTATGCTAAACAGTAAACATAAACGCCTTCCCTAACCTGCATAGCCGAGCCGTTGATCCACCAGAACTTTTGAAGCACATCTGAATCTGACGTGAATGTATGTACAATTGTACACCCTGTATCCGACTAGTTAGGACATGTACAATGAATATTTTTTAACGAATCTAACACTTTAGAGTGTGCCAATTTCATGAATATAACATGAGAAAAATTGTACAGAGTAAAAAGTAAAATTTTTATACGAAGAGAAAAGCTGTGATATAAATTGTGCTCGGTCTCAGGCACAACTGCAAATGTGTGATGATGATGGAGTGAGCTTCTGAAAGTTGCATGTCGCAAACTTAAGACGACAGTTATGCAATTTTTTACTAACTATAGATGAAGATTCACAAATAGACTTGAATAACTGTTTTCTCATTATCTTAGTTTGGTCACTTGTTTTATGCTTTGGTGTGTTTAATTTTATTTGAAGTAAACTCTTTATTTCTTTATTGAGTGCTAGATTGTAATATTTAGCTATAGCTCTATTAATCAAAGGGCGGGATGTATCTATTCCATTATTTAAAAAAAAATTATGCCAGGTGTTTTGCTCCTACTAGGACCCAAGTTTTGGCCTCTATTTTCATGAGGAATAAGTTCACTTTGGGTCCCTCTATTTGTCGCCCAGTCCGATTTTCGTCCCTTGACTGCAAAACCGGGTATAACTCGTCCCCCAACTTACGAAAACCGGGCACATAAGGTCCTAAGGTGGTTTGGATAGCGGTTTTGGCTGACGTGGCGTCTACGTGGCAGGTTTGACTAGGTATCCGTCCCATGTGGCATTGACGTGGCGTTTACGTGGCAATTATATCTCGGAAAAATAATAAAAACCATGGGCCCACATGTCAACTGCACAAAAAAATAATTTTAAAATGGTGGGGCCCACGTGGACCCACATGTCAGCTACACAACAAATAAATATGGTGGGGGGCCCCACATGTCATTCCCTCTCCCCTCTCGGCTCTCTCTCCTCTTCTTCTTCCCTATGCTTCCTTCTCTTTCTTCTCTATCCTCTCTCTCTCCTGCATACGGTCGGCACGAAGAAGGCCGGCGCGGCGGCGCGACGGCGGCCAGAGCGGCGACAAAGAGCCTGCGGGCCGGAGGAGGATGGAGGCAGTGGGACGGTGAGGGAGGAGCCTGAGTGACGGCTACGAGGGCGCGCGGGGGAAAGAGGGAGGGAGAGGCGGTGGCTCGGAGGTAGACTGCGCCGGTGGCGTGCGAGGTCGCTGCCCGCCTCCAGTCGGCCAGCGCGTGCTGCCTCCTCTCAAGCAGGTCCTCGCGAGCCGCCGCTCCTCTCCCGTCGGCCGCCCCGACGAGCTCGCCTCATCCCTTGCGGCGCTCCCGTCGGCCTGCCCTCTCGCCGGCGCGGCGCGCTGCCTCTTCTCCAGCCAACCCCCGCGAGCCGCCGCTCCTCTCCCGCCGGCCGCCCCGACGAGCTTGCCTCATCCCTCGCGTCGCTCCCATCGGCCGTCCTCTCGCCAGCGCGGCGCACCGCCGCCCTTCTTCCTCCCACCCGTCGGCCGGCTCGACGAGCTTGCCCCCTCCCTCGCGGCGCTCCCGTCGGCCTCGTCTCCCACCGGCCACCCTGCGTGTCACAAACGACTCCTGCGGTCAGTGGAGTCGAAGGCGTCCTCCTGCTCGTCTCTAGGTCCCTTTGAGCGACTCCTGGAGTCTGGCAGATACGTCTCGCCACTGCCCGGCTCTGTGCCACTGGAACTGCTGCTGCTGTGGTCGCGGCTGCCACTGGGAGTAGCAGACAACCAACCTCCGTTGCCACTGGCTGGACCCCTGGCGGCTGACGCTGGAGCGAAGGAGAGAGCGGATGCGGGAGCTGGCACTGGAACTGGAGCTGGGGCTGGAGCTAGAGCTGCGGGAATTGCGGGCGGAGGTGGGTTCCTGGGCGCAAGCTGAATGCGCACGGGTGCAGTCGTCGTCTTGCGGGGCGTGGTGCGGATCCGGACTCTTCCTGGCGCTGGGAGACCCTTCAACTGAGTATTCTCCTTCTTCAGGCGTGCTATCTCATCCTTCAGAGCTATGATCCTCACTAGCTTCCCATCGTTCAAGGCCTTGGACGCCTTGTGCAGATCCGAGTGCATCCTGTCCATTCCCCTCATCACAGCACACATGTGACCAAAGGTGGTGTCGTTCTCGCCAGCTGTCGGACGGAAAGTACTGACCTCATCACCGCTGGCTCGACGAGGGTGAAATCGGTACGCCGTGTCGTGGAAGATGTAGTTGTGGCGCTCCCGTAGTCTGGCCATCATCAGGTATGCTGCCTCCTGACAGGCGTGATCTGCTGTGCCTCCGGATGCCTCAACCACCATATTAGCTAGGTAGGTACCCACGTAGCCATGGACCTTCAGGCGGACACGGTGAGGAAGCTCGCCACTGAGCGGTGGAACAGTCGTGTACTCTGGCGCGTTGGGGTAGCCCACCACCAGCGTCATGCGTGCCAATTCTGCCACAAAGTCATCCATGCCTTCTCCGCGGTGGTTGGGTGGGTGGTCGGCCATCTAGAGAAGACAAAGGAGTAGGATCAATGCATGCTCAAATCCAAATTTAAATAAAGCAATAAAGGACTCAAATAAGAGAAACGAATAAGAGCGGAATTTTATTCATAGATCATTTTGCATGAGAGCGAATAAATAAGACAGACTTACATAACGATAAAATAAATGAGGAAATTAGATACATACTAATAATAACAATAAAAACATAAATACCTTGCAACCCATATTCCTGAGCTAGGACCTAATGCATTTCACCCATCAAATCCCAACTGACTGACGAATAAATCTCAAATAATTTTACTAAAACCCTAGACTGACTTGTTTTGACAAATCTCACTTAAACGAGCGACCAAGATTTTTCTCTTGAACCACAAGAACATATCCCAATTTTCCCGGAACAAATCCAATTGCAAAGAACATATGCAATGAAAAGGATTCAGAGGGCTCTTAGGTTTTTCCATTTGGCTTGTCCTACGGTCAAGGTCGGCTCTGATACCAACTTGTCACGCCCGGAAATTCCCGAATAGAATTCCAAGCAGAATGTGCATTAAAATCCCCGTCCAGGACCGGCCGAGGTACACAAACAACAATTTTGACATTCAGATCCACGTCTTACAAACATCATAAAAGTCTTACATAAATGCAGCGGAAAAACGAAAGATAACAGGAGCTAAGCCTTGACTTGATCTGCAGCGGGAACACCACTCCACAGGCATCCTCGACGGCACGGATGAAGCCTACTCCTCGGAGAAACCACCATCTGACACATACTCGTACTCTGGGGTTGGGGAAAATAGAGCAAGACTGAGTACTACCCACTGTACTCAGCAAGTCATACCGGAATAGGGGTATGATGCAGGGAATTATCAAAGGAGAGCTAGAGTGGTTCATTTGCATAAAGTGAGCATTTATAAACAGAAGTTGAAAGAATTAAACAGTTGTAATAATTAATCATATTATTCATCCACTGTCCAACGCTATACCACGTTGCGACAGGCCCAACCATCCACCTATACTATCCAATTTCATTAGACTAAACTAGGGTGAGACTAATCACGGTGAATCTGGTTGACCGTCCATAACCGCGGGCACGGCTATTCGAATAGTTTTACTCTGATCAGAGGTGTACAACTGTACCCACAAGAGGCCGGACAGGACCCTTCGCATAACCCCCTCTAACCAAGCACACCACACCTCAGGTTTCACCCCCACTCCTCGCAAGGCAGCGGGCAGTCCCCTCTCGTGCCTAGGTGAATCTGGAAGCCGCATAGGCCGTCGCAGGGCCCATCTAAACTCCATCACGCCCACCCTTGCCTGGATGCGTCGGCTAGAGAAAAGCTACACTACAAGCCCAGCCGTTGCCCACGCTGGCTTGTGGTAAGTACGATAAGTTCTTCCAGGGCATCCCGCGAACCGGTCCTTAACTGCCATGGGTGCGACCAACAAAACCATGCACCCACAGCCCACCATGTGATTTATTTTAATTAACCAACACCGAAGCGGTGTCACTAATCCAACATTACCATTAGAACCTACAGTCTAAACATTAATAGGATTTTTCCCCAATGTGTGCTAGTTGAACTAAGCATGGCTAAGCAATTCCTAGTCCAAAGTCTATTCATGTTATACCCCAAGCTAACAAAGGAGCATGATATCAAAATAGCATGGCTGTAACAATAGGTAAACATCCCATAGTAACATTATAAAACAATGTAGTATTTGAAGAAAAACAATAGAGCATTTGCAATATAGGATCAACATGTTCAAGTGACAGGCATGACTTGCCTTGCTCTGCAGCTGGAGGAACCTCGGCGACTATCTCAAAGTACACCGGAGCGTTGGAAGAACCGGAATCTAAGCGACATACAAAGCAAACAATGCAAACAGGCTATAAGACTACTGAAACAGAGAACAAAACCATTTTTAATGGATTCTACACATTTTTCTTGATTTACTGAGACTTGAATGGGCTTAAACGGAGCACGGATGAATTAGTTATGAATTTTAGAAGATTCACTGTGTTGATTACTATAAAAAAAGTCCTTAAATCATTTATTGCGCATTATGTCCCAGGGCTGACGTCATCAAAAAGGGGGAGTGGTGCCGACAGGCGGGGCCCGCATGTCAGCGACTCAAGGGGAGAGAGGGGCGCCGGCAAGTGGGGCCCCCGGGTCAGCGGCTCAAGGCTGCCGGTCCACCGGACCGACGGCCCAGATCGCCCCTGGGGCCGATCGGATGGGCGGCGGCGACCCGGCTCGGCTCGGCTCAAGGCCGGCCGACCGGCCACGGCGATGGCGATGGCGACGGCGCGCGCGCGCACGCGTTGCCGGCGACGGCAACCGGCGGCGCAAAGGCGGCGGCTCGACCCGGCGCGGCTAGGAGGGAGAGGGAGGGGAATAGAGGAGGGGGAATGCCTCACCAAGAGTGGCCGGCGTGGAGGAGGACGACGGCGAACGGCGACGGCGAGCCACGGGAGGACAACGACAGCGGGCGGACGAGCTCCGAGATGCCCTAAGAGAGGCAAAGAGAGAGATTAGAGGGAGAGGGGTGGACCACGGCGAGCGGAAACCATGGCCGAAGGCGGCGGTAGAGGTGGTGCTCACCGGAGTGCAAGGGGATGCGGGTTCCGGCGACGGACCTCGATGGAGGAGGGGCGGACGGGGTAACCCTTGGCCACGCGAACCCGGCGGCGGCGACGGCGTGGTGCGGCGGCGAGCCTAGCGGCGGCTAGCGGCGGTCGGAGTAGCGGAAGCGGCGGCGGCGGGTGGAAGCACGGCGCGGGAGCGATGGGGAGCACGAGGGAGTTCGGCGAGATGGGGAAAAAGAGAGAGGGAGTGGCGATGGAGCTTAAATAGGGGAGGGGAATCCCAGACGTGGCCGGTAGGGGCGGGATTCCGCCGGCCAACGCGGGGAGGTGGAGGTAGAGAGAGAGGCGGGATTCGGAATTCGAATCCCAGCCATCTCGGGCGCGGGCGCGAGTGGGATAGAGGAGGAATGGGTGCGGGAGGCGCGGCGCATGCGCGGGCGTGGCCGACGTGGCCCGGAGGTGGCGGGGACGTTGGCGCGGCGGCGGTTTCGGCGGTGGTGGCGACGTGGGGCGGGCGGCCAGAGGAAGGGGACGACCCCGACAGGTGGGGCCCACCTGTCGGCGTCCCGGGGAGAGAGGGAGGGGAGGCTTGGGCCGGCCCACAAGGAGGAGGGCGCGCGCGGCGGCGGGGTGGACTGGGCCGACGGCCCAAGAAGAGGAAAAGGAGGGAAAAGAAAAAGGAAAGGAGGAAAAGATTTTCCCTGGGATTTAAAATTGCATGTGCTCAATTTTAATTGGTTAAAATTATTTCGAGAGCTCTGAAAATTCCACTAAAAATCTTGTTAGCGTATTTCGACATGTAGAACTCAAGAAAAATTCCACATGCCAATTGCATTAATTTATTAAGGTTTTCTCTTGATTTGCACCGGCATTTTCTTAGGGTGATTTATAAATTCAATTTTAGGATTAGGAGGAGAACTTCAGGGTGTGACACCGCGGAGCTCGCCCCCTCTCCTGCCGGCCGCCCCTACGAGCTCGCCTCATCCCTCGCGCCGCTCCCATCGGCCGCCCTCTCACCGGCGCGGCGCGCACCGCCGCCCTTCTTCCTCCCACCCGTCGGCCGGCTCGATGAGCTCGTCTCATCCCTCGCGCCGCTCCCATGGGCCGCCCTCTCGCCAGCGCGGCGCGCGCCGCCACCCTTCTTCTTCCCACTCGTCGGCCGGCTCGACGAGCTCGCCCCCTCCCTCTCGGCGCTCGCGTCGGCCTCCCTCTCCGCCGGCGCGGCGCTCGCGTCAGTCGCCCTCTTCGCCGGGACGGCGCTCCCGCCGGCCGCCTCTCGGCTCACCGACGTGATCACGAGGAGGGAGGCTCCGCCGCCGCTCCCGCGGCATCAGCCGCCAAGGCCGCGAGGGAGAGGGATGGAGGCGGTGGGGAGTTCCCATGCGCATCGGCGGCGGCGGTGCTGGGGGCGTCCTCTTGTTGGTGCGCGTTGTGGCGACGATAGGGAAGATGGGAGTGAGCCGAGAGGAGAGATGGGATGACATGTGGGGCCCACGTGTGACCCACCATATTTATTTTGCTGTGTAGCTGACATGTGGACCCACATGGGTCCCACCATTTTTAAATTATTTTTTTGTGCAGCTGACATGTGAGGCCACGCTTTTTATTATTTTTCTGAGATATAATTGCCACGTAAGCGCCACGTCAATGTCACGTGGGATGGAGACCTAGTCAAATCTGCCATGTAGGCGCCACGTCAGCCAAAACCACTATCTAAACCGCCTTAGGACCTTATGTGCCCGGTTTTCGTAAGTTGGGGACGGGTCATACCCGGTTTTGCAGTCAAGGGATGAAAATCGGACTGGTCGACAAATAGAGGGACCCAAAGTGAACTTATTCCTTTTCATGACGAGGGAAAGAGTGGAGAGCTCTTCTGAATTCCTGATTTCAGGACCTCCTGTCCAATTTGGCCCATTACTAGCCTTCAAAACAAATGGCCCGTCTAGACGGGACGAAAATTCCTCCACAACTGGCCCAGTAGGAGGTAGGCCGGCCACACGCAATTTCTCCTCGGGCCGGACCCGTTCGGCAGCGGTGGCAAGGCCTGCTGCTGCCGCGGCCTTCGTCGACGTGTGCCCTTGCTGGAATCGGGCCGCTGCGGAGTTTTCTCCTGCCGACGATGGCGTTGAGATCGGTGTTCCCCGCTGTAGGGCGCTGTCAAATTGTCAGGGAGGGCATTGCCGCCGCCGCCGGCGTCCGTAGGACGCGGCTACCCGCTATCCCACGTTCAGGGTTTTTATGGTATGTCTTTCCTGAGCTGAAGGCTGAAAGCACTGATCTGATCATTGACCATCCGTAGGACATCAATTTAATTCTGAACTCGTCCAGTGTCCCGAATATTAATTCTGAACTCGCATTGTGATCTATTGTGTTTGAACAATAGTATATGAGCTGTGTGAGTCATGAGTTCACTGTTTGTTTTTTTCAGGATGATCTGTTGAGTTCTAGGCTTAAGAAGCTGCTTCCCGGCTTTATTTATCCACCCACAAGATGAATACGTGCTCCCTTGAAGATACGGTGATCATGGTGAAGAGACACGTCTCGCTGCCGTGGAGAAATTGAATGTTAGCGGTACGGTGCAGGTATGTGCCGAGTTTCTGATAAAACAGTAGTATATGCATAAGTGTGACACCTCAAGCAAACAACACTATCTGTTCAGCTGAGTGGAGCAACTGAACTTAACCTGCTACCTGCTCACTAGTAGAAAAAGACAGTGGCTTTCAGACGTGTACAGGATCTCACGTGCATGAATTGATGAATACTGCATATAGACATGTAACTGGTATCTCCCATAACAAATCAATCTTGGCGCTATTTCGTTCATCATCATTCGTTTGTCATGTTCCCTTGGGAGTGGCAGCATCGATTTAGTAAGAAAACATCTCTGTTGTGCTTCTACAGAACTCCATATGGAAGCTAATAAACAGTATACTGATACATGAAAATTAGATGGAAGATAGAATTCAGATAATCGTATGTACCACTCTGATACCTGATAGAATCAGGAAGACACCATCGATAACGTTTATAAACTGCGTCCTATTTTAGTATAATCATGTTCATAAACCAAATGGCATGACACTCTGACAGTAACAGATGAACTTCTTCTGACTGTTTGGAGTTCTCTCACGAATTGACCATGGAAAAGTATCACAAATTACACCCTTTAACTTACATCAACAGCAGTTTTAGTAGCTGCCTGCCTCTATGCAAATTGCTAAATTTGGCTATGGCATCGTAACTTCCAAAGAACGTTGCAAACAAGAACTTAAAAAAAAATGAAAGAAAAGGCATACTTATTACAGCATCAGCTAAGCACATCTGTGAACTTCTGAATTTCTGAAACACGCTAATATTTTGCTATCTTCTCGTCGGTCCTCTGTTCAGCAATCAGCAGATGGGCAGAGGCTCGCCGTTCCACTCCTTGAGGCACTCGAGCAGTGCGTCGATGTGCTTGCCCTGGTTCATGGCGACGAACACCTTGTTCACCTCCTCGCCGGGCGACCGCGTCTTCTCCCCGGTCAAGTACTCTGTCCCGAGCTCCTCGCGGACGAACCGGTAGAGCGGGTACGACCTGCACTCGGTGATCCTGTTCGCCTTTGCGGCGGTGCCGTTCTCCACGGCCGCACGGGCAGCCTCCACCTCCCTGGGCAGCGCCACGCGGAGCTCCTCCTCGAACGTCGCGACCTTGGCGAACACCGAGGTGTCGACGTTGCGCTCCGCCTCGCCGTTGGCCAGCGCGTGCTCGATGAGGACGGCGCGCATCTTCTGCATCAGCGGGTAGTTGGCGCTGCAGGGGTCGTCCGCGTACGCGAACACGGCCTCGCGGTCGATCGCCTGGAGCAGGTCCTTCTCGCAGAACCGGGCCTTGTGGAGGTCGCCGGTGGCGCTGGTGCTCAGGGTCTTCCTCGCCACCGTCGTCACGCAGCCCTTGACGGCGCTCCTGACGTTCTCTTCGAGGTGGCGCAGGTCGATGGCCTGGCATAGCGCGATCAAGAACGTCGAGGACATGAGCTTGAGCACGTCGATGGCCTCGGCCGTCTTCCTGGACGAGATGAGGCCGAGAGAGTTGACGTCTTGGTTGTGCTGCTCCGCGCTCTGGACATGGTTGGTCACAGGGTTGGCCAAGAACTGGAGCTCAGAGCAGTACGATGCCATGGCGATCTCGGCACCCTTGAAGCCGTAGTCCAAGCTCGGGTTGCGCCCACCGGACAGGTTGGACGGCAGGCCGTTGTTGTAGAAATCGTTCACGAGCTCAGAGAACTGCGCGAACATGAGCTTACCGATCGCGGCAATGGCGAGCCTGGTGTTGTCCATGGACACGCCGATGGGTGTGCCCTGGAAGTTGCCGCCGTGGAGCGCCTTGCCACGGGAGACGTCAATGAGCGGGTTGTCGTTGACGGAGTTGATCTCGCGCTCGATCGACTTGGTGGCGGCACGGATGACCTCAATCTGGGGGCCGAGCCATTGCGGCGACGTGCGGAGCGCGTACCTGTCTTGCTTGGGCTTCATCAGCGGGTCGAGCTCGCCGAGCTTCTTCGCCAGCATCATGTAGGAGCTCCCCTCCAAGATGTGCTCCATAATGGCGGCTGCCTCAATCTGTCCCGGGTGGTGCTTAAGCTTGTGCGTCAGGTGGTCGGTGTACTCCGGCTTGCCGTTCATGACCTCGCAGAACACCGCGGAGAGGACCTCCGCGAGCACGCCAAGGACGTTCGCCTCAAAGAGCACCATCGAGGCGAGCCCGGAGCCGACGGCCGTGCCGTTCACCATGGCGAGGCCTTCCTTGGGCTGGAGCTCGAAGAAGCCGTGCTGGATGCCGGCGATCTTGAACGCCTCCGCGGCATCCACCTTCCTGCCATCGGGCGTCACCGCCACAGAGTTTGGTCGGCCGGTGACGAGTCCCGCGATGTAGGAGAGCGGGACGAGGTCGCCGGACGCGGTGATCGTGCCCCGGAGCGGCAAGCACGGCGTCACGTTGGCGTTAAGCAGCGTGGCGATCGTCTCGAGGATCTCGAACCGGATGCCAGAGTACCCCTGGAGCAGAGTGTTGATGCGGACGAGCATGGCTGCCCGCGTCGCCGCGGCCGGCAGCACGTGGCCGTCGTCGCCGTTGCCGAACGCCCCGGCATTAAGAAACCTGTCATGGCAACCATTACAGGAACACACGTTAGGCCTCTGATCCACACAAGCTCTCACCAGACGAACAGCAAACTCTTGCGGCTTCTTACCGGATAAGCTCTCGCTGGAGCGCGCCGCCCTCCTTGGTCCTCCGGTGGGAGGTGGCGCCGAAGCCGGTGGTGACGCCGTAGCTGTCGGTGCCGTTCATCATGCTGTTCATGACCCAGTCGCTGCTGGCCTTGACGCGGCCGCGGGCGGACTCGTCGAGCTCCACCCTGGCGGCGCCGGCGGAGGCCACCGCCGCGACCTGCGCGATGGTCAGGCTGGCGCCCTCGATCGTCACCACGGGCCTGCGGTACTCCTCCACCATGCGCTTCACCGCGTCCAGATGGCTCCCGGACAGCTCCTCCGCCGCCTTCCCCCAGTTGAGCGGGTCGGCACGCGGCTTAGCCACGCACAGGCTGCTGCCGTTGGCGGCGGCGGCGACGTGCCCGTTCTCGCACTCCATCGGAACGGCGAAGCAGAGGGGAGATCGATGTGTAGCTGTAACGAGTGGTGGTTGCTCGAGCGGTTTGCTCCCGATGGAGGTGGAGGAGTTGTGTGTGCGGAAGAGCCGGGGATATGGAAGCTGCAGTGGCTTTGCTCTTGGAGGGGAATGGAGGGAGTTGTGGGGAGTTTAAATAGGAGGCGCAGGATGGGTGGGAGTGGGGAGTGTGGGTTCGGTGTGGCCGGTTGGGTTGACCACGGGATTGGTGTGCCGGCGCGAGCGAGTTTGGGAGCGCAACTACGGGCCGGGTGGGCGTGTGGCTACGTAGAGGTTTCGTGGTGGTCGTGGCGTGCCCTGTGGCGGTTGGGCTCGGGGGAGCGGAGCGGGCGATGCGGGCGGCAGTGGCGGGAGTGCATGCGGGGGAAGAGAGAGAGAGTTGCACGCGGCAGCGGCGGCGCGGGGGGATACGGGGCGTGAAACACCTCGCGTCGTCACGCCACGAAGCCACGTTTGGCTTGGGGGCGTCTCTCGCCGTTTCTGCGGCTGCTGACGGTCCTCGACTCGTCGTCTTTCGTTTCGTCCGGGCGTCCGTTTATCTGGAAGGGCTGTGAACTCATATCCAGATATCATTTCCTTGGTCCCCCGGCTTATCTTTCTCTATCGCTTTCTACTTCGTGCAACACGTTTGTTTAGGTTTTGTGTTCTAGTTACATATTCCATAGGTCATTGGTTCTCCGCACGTAGGTGATGGGCTGATGGTCAAGCGGTCTGTGTACAAACAACAAAATTTTTCTGGGGTTTTGGGGGTGCATGAGGGGGGAAACTACGGCACAAGAGAGGTACCAATCCAATTGCGCGGTCACCAGTCCCCCGACAAAAACTGGTGTTGGCATAACCCTTTCATCTGTCTTTAGCAAGTCCTAATGGTTCATACCAAGTGCTAGTATTCTCTCCGAGCTTTCGTTCTGCGCAATACACACCTGACTTGACTGAGAAAATATAGACAGTTTTTTCTCAGAACTAGTATAATGTCTGTGCGACAGAAAATCTTTTAAAAAATATAGTTTATTGTGTATATTTTAAAGAAAAAAAGTTAATTATACTCTCAACTAGCTGGTGGCCCGCGCAACTGCGCGGCTAGTACACAAACAAAATTATATATTTTTTAAGTATGATTTTGCTTAAAATTTATTAAATAGCTATTTCGTTGTCTTAAGACTTTGAAAGACCAAACCTTATCATCTCCATATTTCTAATTATATGGTTTTTAAAGTCACACCAGCTGCTACGTCTTACTTTTCTCATATCATTTTTTATTTGCTTGCTCAATCTACCACTATTTCTATTCATTCTCCTTGAAACCTTTAAAAATAGGATCTTATAGTTTTTAGAGTTTAGTGTCTCGTTGGGTTTCGTTTTTATAATTTCTATAAGTCCCGTCAAACGCTGTCATTATACTCCTCTATGCCCCGTCAATTGTCTTTTCTATTTATTATCATTGGGATTTTAAAAATCGAACATAATTATCATTCGGGTTCATTTTTTACTTTCTAGAAGTCCTGCCAAACCGTCAGTTGCTTTGCCACTGTACTCCTCTACGGCCCGCCCGCTGCCGCCCTTCTTTATTGTCATTGAGATTTTAAAAATCAAATATGATTATCATTAGGGTTTATTTTTTTATTTTTTAGAAGCCCGAACCTTTAAAATTTGAACCTTATAGTTTTTAGAGTTTATTGTCTCGTTGGGTTTCATGTTTTTTATAATTTTTAGAAAACCCGTCAAACACTGCCACTATACTCCTCTACGACTCGTCCGCCGCATACTCTTTATTGTCATTGGGATTGTAAAAATCAAACATAACTATCATTGGAATTCATTTTTTACTTTCTAGAAGACCCACCAACCATCGGCGGCTCTGTCATTGTACTCCTATACGACCCGCCTGCTGCCTCTCATTTTTATTGCCATTGAGATTTTAAAAATTAAATATGATTATCATTGGGATTTATTTTTTTTTACTTTCTAGAAGTCCCCGCCAACCGCATTAACCGATTGCTTCACGACCTGCCCGCCGTCCTTCCTTTTAATCGTCATTAGGATTTTATCTGATTATCAACCACCACCACTCTGCTTCTCTCTAGCCATGTTACTTAATTAATCTCGTCATGTGTTTTAGATGGTCTTTTCTTTCAATAGTCTTATTTTTTTATCACCAATTTTAGTTATTTATAAATGGTATTTCTAGTGAGATCTTATTTTTCTTTTTCTGATTTCAGAATTTATTTTATTTTTCGTATTGTGTTCTTTTGATATTTTTATTTTTTATTTTCAATTTCAGTTGTTTCAAAATTGTACATATTTTAACTCTCTTTTTAATTTGCCTAATTTTGGATCTTTTTTTTATTTTTTATTCCGAATTTTAATTAATCTATTATTGGATTCTTATATGTACTCTTATTCCAATATTGCTTATATTTAATTCCGAATTTAAGTTAATTTTAAATTGTATTTCTACTTGAACTCTTCTTTTTTTTATTTTTTATTCAAAGTTTTAATTAATCTCATATTGGATTGTTGTATGGACTCTTATTTCAATATTCCTTATTTTTAATTCCGAATTTCAGTTATTTTTAAATTGTATTCCCACTCGAACTCTTCCTTTTCTTTTTCTAATTTTGAGATTTATTTTATTTTTATTCTGAATTTTAATTAATCACGTATTGGGTTCCTATATGGACTCCTCTTTTAATATTGCATATTTTTAATTCCGAATTTCAGCTATTTTTAGATTGTATTTCTATTTGGATTCTTCTTTTCTTTTTCTCTGATTAATGTGGGAATTTATAGCCTCCACAATGAATGTGGTGCATCCTTTCAAGACTGTTTTAATATTATAATAGATAGATAAGATATATTATCGTGATGCTACTTTTGCTATCGGTTTCTATGCACCTACTAAGCTGTTTGTGGCCTATGAGGTTGGGAGATAGCGAAAGTCTTGCCTCACTATGTTGTGGGTCTCGTATGCTATTTGGGTGGTGGTAAATTCATCGCCACTACTCCCTCCGTCCCAAAATATAAGGGACTTTGGAGGGATGTGATATATATTCCAGTACTTTGTCTAAATTCATAGAATTAGGAATCCCTCCAAAATCCCCTGTATTACGGGACGGAGGGAGTACTACTAGGTGAAACCCCGCACATTGCTGCGGGAATTTAGTATGATAACAATAAAAAAATAACGTGTAAGATAGCTAGATAACATCAGATTAAGTAAATTAATGTGGTTTATGATAATTTAAATTTAAATAGTATGTAGAATGGTGATTCAAACGTAAAAAGTAAGGTGGTATCACTTTATGAAAGAAGAAAAGTAGGGAGATAGTTTGGACTGTAGATTAATCATCTAAAGGCTAAAAACAATCGATGTGATATGACTTAATTAGAGAAAAAAAGGAGAAAGATAATTTATACCATAGATTAATTATTTAAGCACTAAGTGAGGATGAACCATATAAGTATATAGGATATCATAAAACATAATAAGGATATACATTAAAACATTATGTGAATTATGTTGGATGATAATTTAACATGTTTGTATTTGAAAAGCTCTTAAATTATAAAAACTATAAAGATATAGTATGTTTGCATGATGTTTAAATGTGATTATTGTTAGTGGATGATGACGTGGCATCTTGTTAGTGGATGATGATGTGGTATCTTTGCATGTTAAACTTAAGAAGTTAGTGGGGGATAACTTTATAGCAAGATAGGATTAGTATAGATCTTACGGGTGGGGTTAGGAACACCTCCTCTCAGGCACGTAAATCAAAGCACACATTAACACGTGATTAATTAAGTATTATCTAAAATAAACTTGAAAAATATATTAAAATGATTTTTTAAATAACTTTATTGTAGAAAATTTTTGCAAATAAATGCACCGTTTAGCGGTTTGGGAAGCCTTGTGAAAAACTAGGTGACGTTGTTCTCTCTTTTCATTGAACAGTCTACAATTGCGCTGTTTGCTATTACGAAGATTTTTTAAGTGTACGTTGTGGACGAACTGAGTCTGAAACTGCATCATAACTTCCAGTGGTTTCTGTTCGTCATTTTATTTTCCATCTTGGACTTGCAGTCGACCTCGCCCACTTGGCATGCACATTTGCAAAGTCATCTTTCCCTCTTCCTTCTGAATGAATATGCGACTATATGCATACTTGTTTCTTGTCAGTGAGTGCTTGAGTGTTGAATCGCATATTTTTCCTCTGCACGCGATGGCACCGAAAATGCGAGAGAAATTACAACTCCATTTCTCCCTAATTCTAAAAGCAGTTGGAGTGAAGTTTTCCATTGTGTTAGTTGACTAGGCTAGATGCTAGAGTGGTCAAGTCGTCAGACATGTCTGAATCGTCCAAGTCTGGAATGCCGCAGAGCGTGTTTTCGCCCAGGTCAGAGTCATGTGCTTACGAGTACATACTTTTGCTGAGTTGCGGTCTCTCGAAAAAGATTTCAAGTTGACCTGTGGACTGTGGTGGCAACAATGTCATTGCAAATGTGCAACTGCATGCGTACGACACTAGGATCAAATGGGTCACCGTACGAGGAAAAAAAGGAGGGAGATTTCGTGGAAGTGCTTATGGCATTTGGTGTTCTAGATTTTCTATCGAAAGTCCTTCAACTTTAGTTAGCACTGATTGAAAAGGCTGTACTACCTCTTAGGATTAGTACATGCATGCAATTTCTCTCGAACCAGTGGCAATGTTCCGGTTAATTCAGGCGTAATTTACGTCCGTGTGCCCATCAAAATGTTGACAGTAACATGTATACCGCAAAATTTGTAGGGCATTTACAAAATAAACGGGCATTAAGATTTTCAAAAAATGACAAGCATTTAAATGTCATACCACATAATAAGGGGAGAAAAGATAGATCCTGCCAACGAAATTTGAAAGGGTGGAAATCAACTGGAACCAACCATTTCATCCCAATTTTCTGAAGCTTGCATGCAAACTGTAGGAACATATTGACAATTTTGACATTGGTTGCTTCGTGTAGTCGTGTTGGTAACCATGTTATATCAAGCTGAGAACTGTAGTCAAATCATCCTCTCCTTTTTTGCCAAAAAGACGCTCACACTTGTCTGCAGCTGTGTGAGCTGCGACAGAGAA